TGGAGAACCCTCACCCAGAGCTCATCCGGGGATTTTAGGAAGGCCCAGGCTAGCTTGGCGAGAAAGGCCATATTGAGTTCATGGGCCTTCCGGAGTTCGAGTCCCCCTTCAGTCTTCGGTCGACATACCCGATCCCAGTGCACGAGGTGGACCTTGCGAGTGGTCGCCGCAGATCCCCAAATGAAGCTCCGTATGCGCTTGTCAATGAGATCGCATATCGATATCGGCAGCAATGTTGTTTGCATGCCATAGGTCGGCAAAGAGTTCAGCACTGAGACCGCCAGTGTCACCCGTCCTGCAAAACTGAGAGACTCGGCTTTCCAGCCAGACAACTTATTATCAAGTCGGTCGATGATGTACCTGTAAGTGTCTTTCGTGACCCGTCCGTGGATGACCGGGACCTCGAGATAGCGGCCCAGATCCTGGGTTGCTGGAATACCCATGTGACGTATGATCTCCGCACTGACGTTCCTGGGGGTGTTGCCAGAGAAGAAGAGGACTGACTTCTCTTTACTGACCAGCTGGCCCGAGGCGCGACAGAACCTATCCAAGCACTCAAGGATGACGCGTCCTTGATTCTTTGTGGCCTCTGCAAAAAGAATAAGATCGTCAGCGAAGAAAATATGGGAGAGAGGGGGACCTCCTGGGGAAGTCCGGATCGGTTTCCATCTTCCCTCGTTCACCGCCTCGTCAATAGTGTGGCTCAATCTCTCCATGCAGAGTGTAAATAGGTATGGCGAAAGAGGACACCCCTGCCTCAAACCCCTGGATGGCTTGAAAGGCTCAGTCCTGCCACCATTCCAAAGTACTTTCATGGTAGGGGAGCAGACACATTTCATGATCGACTCAATCAACTGATCTGGGAAGTTAACAGCCTCCAGAGTTTCTCGAATGAACCTCCAGCTGAGTCTATCGTAGGCTTTTGCCAAGTCTATCTTTATGACGAACTGCCCCTTCCTGCACTTCTTCTGCCCCATGGAGTGGACCACTTCCTGCAAAATAATTATGTTATCGGTGATATGACGCCCCGGGACAAAGCTGGTCTGTGTCGGATGTACCAGCTGCTTCATCAGTGGTTTGATACGGTTGGCCAGGCATTTGGTAAAAGCTTTGTAAGAGACATTGCAGAGGTCAATAGGTCTGAACTGAGATATCTGCTCCGGACTCTCCTTCTTGGGGATCAATACTATCAGAGTCTCATTTACTGCTTCTATGCTGTTCGGATTATTGAGGCAACTCGCTACAAAATCAGAGAACGAGTTACCTATGATCTTCTAACTTTTTTGGAAGAAAACCGGGTGGAACCCGTCAATGCCAGGTGCCTTAAGACCCCCCATCCCTTTGATCGCCCACCAAACCTCCTCCTGCAAGATAGGGCGGCTAAGGGACTGAAGTGTAGCCTCATCAATCTTCTCAAAGGTGGCTGGAATATGTTGGTTTGCCTCGTCATCCGCCGTGAAGAGTTCAATGTAGTACGCCCGGGCTAGCTCCTTCAGTGCTTCTTCATCCTCCACCCATTCACCCGACGAGTTTTTGAGGCTAACAATTTTGTTGAACTTGCGGCGCTTGAGGGTTGATAAGTGATAGAATCTTGTATTTCTATCCCCATCAACTATCCAAAGCGCCCGAGACCTCTGCAACCATAGGAGATTCTCCTGCCATAGAGTGGATTCCAGCTCCGCCCGCGTTGCCTTCTCCTCATTCAGCAAGGCCGTAGTCGCTCTCTCCTCATTCAGCAGTTCGAGTTTCCTCAACCTCCGGATCAGCTCTCTCTTTCTCTTAATGATGTGGCCAAAAACCTCCACGTTCCATTTCTGTAAGTCGAGTCCCAGTTGGTACAGCTGTGACGGAAGCCCATAGGATTTCCTCCACGCCTCCTCCACCACCAAGTGAAACTGATCGTTGATAAAGATTACCTTTTTTCCAAATGCTTGGTAACAATTTCCGGGAACTTAAACATCCAGGCTCTGTTGCACAATGCTCTGTCTAACCGTTGGTAAAGATTACCGCGTTTCCATGTGAACCTCGGACCCGTAAAGTCAACCGTGAATAGCCCGGTCTCGTCAATGCATTGTCGGAAAGGTCTGACTCGTGCCTCTTGGAATCCCGCTCCCCCCATACGGTCTGTCGGGCTTAAGATGGAGTTGAAGTCACCGGCTAGGAGCCATGGCAAGGAGCATGAATCCGCGATCCGCCTCAGCTCATTCCAGAGGTCCTGGCGTAGAGCAGTATTGAGGCTGCCATACACCGCTGAAAGTAGAACTTCCGAGCTTGGCGAGCTTTAGCGGGTACATTTAAAATGTATCATTTGATCCCACTGATAGAGAGGCGTGATCCGAATCTCCTGCTTATGCCAGAGAACCCATATGCCTCTTGCGAATCCCACCGAGTCAACCATAAGCACCCCATCGAAGCCCGTACGTGCGATAACACTCCGCGCCCTATCCCCACTTATCCGGGGCTCCATGGTGAACACAATATCTGGCCGTCGAGCCTGGCAATACGAAAGTAAAAAAGGAACAAATTGGTCATTACCTGCCCCTTGGCAGTTCCAAGAAAGAATGTTAAACATTAAAATAGGATAACAAAGGAATGGGCACAAAAGACTCCCCTGTACAACCGGCGAGATCCCGGTGCTTAAGACACGATCATATCTCGGGGGTTAGGCTTCCCCGAGGTCGGCAACTCTGGACCTGTAGGTCCCGATGACACTCATTACCCCCTGCCGGTGATTGGCCTGGCGGCTAAGGAGGTTGGGACGTTCCCCCGTACTGGGAGTGATGATCTCCCCTGGTCTCAAGGATCCTTTCGCCCAAGAAGGACCCGAATTTGTGTTGGTAGTCTCCTTAGTCCTTTTTGCTTGGGTAAGCAAATCGGTTTGCGAGGCTACCATGTTGACCGGTACATCGACAAGATCGTCAGCATCTGCCTTGTGTTGGGGGGGGAGGGGGGGTTGCGAAGCCGCGTTCTTGGCCGCACCAGTCCCCTCCTTTGGCCCCTTTTGGGCGCTCGGGGGTTTCTGGCCAGAGGGGGGCTGGGTGGAGTTCATGGTTTTGGGGCCAACCGGTTGTGCCTCCTTGACAGGGGGTTCCTGTGAAGCCATTTGTGTTTCCATCATTGCAACGCCACCAGCATCTTCTTCAAGGACTGCAAAACGAGACCCAGATGGAGTTCCTCCGCCCTAGTCAGCCCCAGCTTTTGCTCCCGAGTTCTGCTTCTTCTTACCTCGTGGCTTTGCCACCATCCACTCGCCATACGTGGATCTCGGTTCTTGCTCCCGGCCCTCCTTCCTGTTTTGAGTTGTGGGAGGAATCGGTTCAGCTGTTTGCTCAGCTCGTGCGTGGGTGAGCGACGGGCACGGTGTCTTAGCCAGGTCGTACCGCCCGCATTCGTTACAAATATTGTATAGACTCTCGTACTCAATGTAGTACGTCACTCCTTCAATGCGATATTGTGATAGCAACGGCTTTGTTAGATCAACTTCGACGCATGCTCGAGCAAACTGTGTTCGCTCGCATGTCAGTGTAGCACGGTCCACTCGAATAGGTTTTCCTATCCTTTGGTCAATGCGCTCGACCGCTTCGCTGTCAAAGAAGTCTAAAGGCAGACCCGGTAGGCGAACCCAGGCTAGGGTTGAAGCTACTTCTGCCGAGCTAGGGTTGAACCATTTCCTCCAGTGTCGTACCGTCAGGTAATGCCCCCCGATTAACCATGGCCCTCCTACAGCCGCTTGTTCAGAGTCGAACTGGCTCGTAAAACGAACCACATAGAAGCCATGCGAGAGGCTTGAGATTTGGAGGCCACCATGTTTACCCCAGATTGTTTCCAATCGCTTTGACAGGACCGGGAACGGGAACGTACGTCTCAAGACTTTCACAATCGGGGCTGATCACCATTTACGTCGATAACGCTGCTTCTCCATTGCCGTGAAGGTAATCGTAGGGCACCGAGGATTGTCCTCTTCAGGGATCACGTCGTCCTGGTCCTCCTCACGCATTCTCTCTGTGATATCTTCCGAATCCGATTCCGCGACGTACCAGGCGTCGCTAGCTAACATCTCACTGAAAGTTTTCTTCCCCATCCATGCCGCCTTGGGCGAGAGAGTCTCTGGGGTTCGGTTATGCGAGCCCGACACATCATCCACCATGATTTTGCCAGTTCCGAACAGCTGTCCAGCTACCGACGATTTGGCCCTCTTCCGTACCTGCCGGGCTTCTTTCTCCGCCTTGTTGTTCGGCGATGAGGTCGCCGACGTGGGCCGGCGAGCCCCCACAGATTGGTCCTGGGGACGGCTGGCCGAGGGGTGAGCCCCCGGCGCCGGCGAGGACATGTTCGCAACGCAGTTCCGCCAACGACGTTCGCTCCGAAAAGGACGGAGAAAACCCTAAAATAAGTAGTGGGTGGTTGGCAAACTTCCACCTTACCTCTGTTTCCCTCTTTTTCTATTCGTGCCCCTCGTTGAGAAATTAAAAGGCCCCTTCTTGTAATCGGCTCTGTGGGTGGTCCAATAAATAGTGCCAACAATTCTCAATTTCGAGACCTGAATCAGAATGAATAAAAGCCCGCTTCTCTTCTACCTTTTATAGGCCGCAGATGGCCTAGAAAAGGTCCGGCCCGCAAAGCTGCTTGGCTAGATGAGATGACAATCGCCTTATCAGCAAGGTTGTCAACCCACGCGGGTCGACCCAATTTGACCCTGATCCGGTGAAAAAAACGGGCCGCAAGCACCCACCGGACCGACCGCTACAAGGTATCGGGTTGGAGGTCAAATTGTGTCTCTTTTTTCTTTGGTTTGCGAAATGCGCCTATTTTCTGATTTTTCTTTTCGCCTAACTCAATCTTTGGAATTCTAAGTTGAACATTTGAATATTTATGTTATATAAGTGTGTGTGAATTTTCACTATATGTTGGATCTAAGTACGATATGTTATTTTGGTGTACTATTATATATTATAACTCATATGTTATATAAGATTTGATATAATTTATGTGAATAAGTACAATATAATGACTCTTTCCATATTTTCGGGCCAAACCGGACTAAAATGATTAATCCTTGACTCACTAGCTCGACCGGGTCCGGGCCAACCCGCGGGTTGACAACCTTGCTTATCAGTGAATGGGTCATCCCACCGCCACGTGTCGGACCCATATCCATAGACCATACTTGTTGTTTCCCATCCTTCGATTTTCAGCAGGAAAATAAAAAAGTAAATTATTATTAATTAAAAAAAAAAGACAAATAAAACAACACCAAGAGAGCAAAGAAGAAGATAAGCCACTTGTGGAGGCCACAATCACTCTGCTACCAAAACCTCACATTCCTTCCACCTCCCCCATTAGCCATATCATCATATATCCCCAGAGATCCCCCCAAAAATCCCCTCACTCATTTCCCAACTCTCAATTACTGCAACAATGGCTTCCCTCCCAATTATGTTTGCTCCGGCTACAGTGAATGTGTTCGCAGCCACCGCAGCCAAAGGAGCCGGCGGGAGCAAAGAAGAGAAGGGCCTGCTGGACTTCATTCTGGGCAGCTTGACCAAGGAGGATCAGTTCTACGAGACCGACCCAATTCTCAAGAAAGTCGAGGGCAAGAGCGGCACCACCAGCAGCGGCGGGACTACTTCCGGCAAGAAAAACTCCGTGGCTGTCCCCCAGAAGAAGAAGAACGGCGGTTTCGGCGGCCTCTTCGCCAAGAAATGAGTTTGCCAGAAAGCAAAAACGAACATATCATATTGTTAGCTTGTTTTTTGGTTGCTAATCTCTTCCTCCCGTCTGTGTATGTTTCCTTCTCCGTCATAATGATTCATGTTCCTCCATCGGCTATCTGAAACCATGCATTATACTGCACCCTTCTATTCCCTCCTCTTCCCTGTGCTACGGACTTGGAAACTGATTTCTGGGTATCATCTGTGCGGGTTGATTGCCTCAAACAACATCATAACATTACGAATCTAAACTAATTCACACTGGATTTCAGCTGATTAGAGGAACTCAAATTCCCCTTTTACAACAAATTACCGATCCTTCAAAACTCAAAGATAGCATGAAACAAGTAAATGATATTAGATTACGTTACTACATTGACAAACCCTATATCATCTCTTGCATCTGATGCTCCTTAGTGGACTTAGCTTCCTGATGAAAACTGAAACCGGATGTTTGAAGATGGTCTCTCTCTCTCTCTCTCTCGCTCGCTGCAGAAGCTTGGTGCTTAGATTCTTCTTCTGGGTTTTCGAACTAATTCAATTCTACTCGCTGCAAGATTTGGGTTTACACGGAGACAGATTTGGATCGAGGCAGAGTAGAGGAGTGGTTGATGAACTCAATACATTCCTCGATGGCCTCTTTTCTGTAAACATCAATTGGCGCCACAAATTGCCTTGACCCTCCCCCCGCAGAAGAAGAAGAAGAAGAAGAAGAAGAAGAAGAAGAAGAAGAAGAAGATACCCGCCTCGAAGCTCTGCACTTGAAACAGATGGCTTTGGACAGCTTATCAGCCAGATGACTGAAAAATCTCCCCGGCGGCAACAACTCTGATCTCTTTGGCCGCCTGCAGAACCTGAAACCCGGACTCGACTCGCCTGATCTGCATTTACCACTGTCTCCCCCTTTGCCGATTCCTCCTGGCGTGTGATTTCCTTGGCTGTTGCTCTTCGTGAGCATGGTTGTGAATCAGATGGTGAGGAGGGATTAGGAGTTGCAGAGCTTGAGTAGTGACAATATCTGTTGTTATATATATATAATAAAAAACTGTTGTTGGACGGGTGAAAAGAGAGAATCGCGATCCTTTGAAAGGTCTGCCGCCCTGCCAGACAAAAAACAAAAAGTAAGCAGATCCCCATCTTAGGAAATGGATCAACAGTGTAAACATGGATTAGGATAACTGCAAACTCCAGCAAGAGAGCTCATTGGATTTGGATGAATAACAAGAGTTTTGTAGTTAGGTGATAGAGCAAGTCGTCAAAAATGAGTTCAAACCTGTATGAATGGCTCTAGGAAAGGAAGTAGAGTTGGAATGCTCACTTGTGTAGACGACAGAGAGGGAATATATAAACAAAGGGCAAAAATCATCACCTCAGGAAGCTGTTTAGGAGTAAAAGGACAGAGGAACCCTAAATGCTACGCTACAGGGTTTCTTATAGCATGTTTGTTTGGTATCAGACTTCCATTCCATTCCATGCTATTATGTGATGTGGTCGTGATACTGTTATTTAGTTTCCTGCATCAGCACGTGATGTAGCACACAAGTCAGGAAAGATGCTTGTTATTTAGTTTCCTCTTGCATCCTACTTTTCATGTATTTGGTATTATGTTACTTTCATATATATTATGAATTGCGGTATTCCAAATATACGAAATGTGTCCATAAATAATGATATATATATATATATATATATGGTCGATTACATTTATGTGTAGCTAATCATCTTCCAAGTACGATTAACCCAACATATCATAAACAAACTTCTTTCCGTTCAAGTTCCCTTCCTTTCAAAAATCTTGAATGAAGGCTAAAGTCATTCAAGGTGATTTTTCCTAGATGGAAAAATTCTTATGCTATATCAAATGCTCAAACAAGCGGACTTCAGTTATAAAGATTATTAATACATGACTCAAACCTTTTCGAACAAAGTTGAAAAGTGGGTGTTTGATGACCTGTGGAACTGGAATCTAAGTTGCGTTTAAACTACTTTTGTGAAGATTCCTTCATAGATCTAGTACTATAACTTTTTCTACTTCAATAGAAGTCTTTTCCTGGATAGAGAGCTACACAACTATAATTATTTCACGGAATATTATCACTTGGGAAACATCATAAAGAAAATTATCTGGGAACCATATTGTTATTGTATATAACGGGCTGCAAAATTTTCAAAGTGTGAACTCAAGAAAGAAGGGTTCGTATCTCCCTGCTGCTGCTGATGCTTCTGCTTGTGGGAAATCAGTCGAAAGGAAGTGCAACTTCCCCCACGTCTGTAATCCCAAAGGCCAAAGCTCTCTTTTTGCCTGCACCACAATCAAAGAAGCCGGTGGTCTAAACACGGAGATACTGCCACTTACTCGACCTGAGGGCAGAGGAATCAAAACTCCATTGCTGAATTCCTCCACCTATCTTTTTAGCTTTGCAAAAGCCGGTTCTCCAGATAAGGCATATCTTTCGGTAAAACCAACCAAGGCAAAGTGAAAATCTTGGAAACTGATTCCGATCAAAAGACAAAATAGATGTCAAGGGTGCTCTAAAAAGCTGGCAAGTCCAATCCAGTCCGGCCGTCCAGGCAAACCAAAGATCTCGACGTTGAAAGGGCCGATCTTTCACAACCTAGAACCTTCAACCCAGGAGAACCTTTCATATGGTCGGAGACAGGAGTAGACCAGGTGTGACATAGAATGACAGCAGACAAATATTTACTGTGCCGTGACGAATCGATGTGTAGTGTTAGGTGTTTGTGTAGTCTCTACATCAGTAGACATAATTACAGAAGTGCATGTTAGATGCATCTATATTGTATTTGCCTTGTTCACTTGATTAGACAAGACACAAGACCAACAAATAAGATAGATGTGACCAACAAATTAGGACAGTTTGCCAGTTGGTAAGCTATACTCAAACGAGCATACTACCTACTGATCTTTAGTAAGTAGATATAGGGTTGCTGCATATTTGTGCGAAAAAGAGTTCACAGTAGACTTTGACAAGGGAAAACAACAAAAAGCTAGCAGCCAACTTTGATGGACGACAGGAGGGAGGCTGAAATGGCACTATCTAGCTAACCAGCTTTGCAAGATAAACAGAAGCAGTTTCAAGATGAATCTGGATGCGGTGGTGTGCATTTGGCAGCTTAGAACCACTTCCTGGCTAACAATTGGCATTCAACATCTCAAATGCATTTCACTAAGACATGGGATGCGCTGTAATGACGCCGGAAATACATACCAAGAGACATAAACATATCTGTAACCACTGATTCATCAAGTTAACCATACTTCCCATCCTGAAAGGGGCAAGCAATGCATCTAGTTGACCTCCATGATGGAACTAATGGACAGTAACTTTTCAACTGGTGATAAGGAGAATGACAGGTCATGGCTTGTTTAAAAACCTGGGGCCAAAACAAGCAAAGTGAATGGCTTACAGCCTTCTAAAAGAATAGACTTAGGAAAGAGCCTTTCCACCATCCCTTAGTGTGCAACAGTGGTACATACTAAATGTAAACATCAACACACAGTTGAAACCCCCAAGATACTCTGCACCCTTTAGGGCTATCTAGTTACAAAAGAAGAGGAACACACCTAGACACGTATTCAAAGTGCACACCTAGGCATACCCTGAACATCAATCATCATGACACTACAACAGAATATGTAATAGTAAGAAGGAAAAAAGGAGGGGGGAAAGAACACTAATCTTGATGGTTCATGACAAGTAAAACCTCGGAGCCATGACTTATAACGTAATCCAAGAACCCCCTAACCTCCTCACTATCTTCAAAAGCGACAGGGTGCCTAAGATCGCTATCCAGGTTATACCAAACCCCATCAATCTTTCTCATGGCCACCCAGTGCCTGCCTTTCCACAATCCAACGTAGCGTCTAACAGGGACATTGAGCACAATACCGTAAAGACTCCCCTGAGGGTCCTCGAGGTCGATGGTGGAAGCTCCATTTCGCCTGTCGTGCCAAACCACGGTCTTGCCTTTCTCTTCCAGGGCGGAAATCAAGACATTGATGTCGTAATTCCCGGTGAAAGCATTGTGGTGGGGCTTGAAGACAACGGAAAATGGCGTCCAGCCTTGCTTGTTGGGATCATCCAGTATCAGCTTCTCTGCAATGGAATTCAAGCTGGGCCGAGTGAATGCGTCTTTTTGCTGCAGTAACGCCAGGCAAGAACGAAATGAGAATAAAAGAAGAAACACCCGCATGAATTGTGATGCCAATTTTAATCACTCTGATGAAGGAAGGAAGGAAGGAAGGAATAGATGTAGATGGATTGTTTACCTGGAAGAGGTTGTTGAGAGCGTGTAACAGGCAGAACTGCAGCCTTTGCCTTTCGTGATAGATTACAGTCTTCGGGATATCCGCCATCTCCGTTAGGCGCAAGAAAAACAGATGGGACAGTTTTCGCTTTCTGGATACTGATCTTTTGGGGAACAATTTTGGTGTTGTAGTAGCGAGGAATTTGGAGGACCCGTACAATTTGAGTTTCTAGGGTTTTAAACTGGTCACCAATTAGGATGCAGACTGCAGAGTTTAATTCGGTAATTCCCATCAGAAACAGGTTGCCTTACTATCCTCCTATAGGTTTAGGGGTGGGAAACGGTGGGGTTCGGACCAAATCAGACCAGATCATAGACACGGTTTGTGGTCCAGATCGAGAGGTTGGAACACAGATTATGGATCAGGCTATATACTATATGGTACAGATCAAACCACGCTTGTGCGGTGCGGTGCGGTCCGGTACGATCTAGACCAGACAAACCATGTTAAAAAAATTTACTCTTGTTCCGCCCTCCAACCCTTCACCTGTATCTATAAAAATAAAAATTCTAGTGACCAATATGCTAGTGAAACAAAAAAATTGTGATCGTAATTAAATATGAAGCCATATATGAGGAGAGAATTGAGTTTTTTCAATTTTCAAACTCTCACTCCAGCATCGGCGGATACAGGGGGGGCCACACTGGGCCCGAGCCCAGCCCCCCTGCCTCCCCAAGACCCAACCCAGCCACATTCTATCCTATAATTATTTGGGCCCAGTCCCAGTCCCAAGACCCAGCCCAGCCGGCCAGCCCAAACAAACCTCAAAGACAAAGACCCAAATAATAGACTACAAACCCAAATAATCCCAGCCCTCCTCTCTAGCTTTCCCTCCAAGTCTGGGAGAAAAAAAAAAGAAGAAGTCGAACAGACCCTCCCTGGCCCCTGCTCCCCGCTGCTCCCCACCTCCCCGCTGGTCCCTACCTCCCCGCTGCTCTCCACCTCCGCCGATGACTAGGCATGATGATTGATGATGGTCTGATGATTGATATTGTTGCTGCCAACCTGCCTTCCCTCTTTGGCTCTTTCTCCACTCCGCAGACCGCAGCAGCTAGCCAGCTACAGTAACAGTAGAAGTTTAGAAGACTACAGCGCAAGCAACAGCCAACAGGTAATTGCAATTTAACAGGTAATTGCAATTTGCCAATTGTTCTTACTGTTTTAGTTTACTTAATCTTATTTATTTAGAAACTAAGTTTGTACAGTACAATTATGCATTAAGACATTAACATAGAATTTCATATTAGGATTTCTCATATATCATACTCTGTAGAATTTGTATCCAAATTTACTTTATTACTTAGAATCTAGCGTTTGACTGCGGTGTGTATATGTTTAATTGATTATGTAGATTTCAATATATTTCATCATGACATCTTCTCAACCACCAAATAAAAAGGCGAAAACAACATTGTTTTCTTACTATCAACGTAAGGAATCTGAAACGTGTCAGACCGAAGAAGTCCCTCCTAATGAAGGTCAACCATCTTCCTCTCCACTTCAGAATGAATCATCTACTTCTCCTGTATCCGGTAATCTACTTCCATCATCTGATAGTGGAGTTGAAATTGAAAGAGATCCAGGAAAGAGGAAACAAATATGTGATTGGGCTCTTGAGTTGAGAGATGAGGTTAGGAGAAAATACCTAATACACAAGGCTTATCAACCTAAACTCGCATACTATAAGCCGCGAGAATATCCAGATAAAATTCGTCACTTTCAAGAAGCATGGTATTCACAATTTGATTGGTTGGAGTATTCTCCTACAACACATAAAACATATTGTTTCCCATGTTTTTTGTTTAGAGACAAGATGAATGGGAATCAAACTTCTGCACTAGTCAAAGATGGATTTGATAATTGGAAGAGGGTTAATGGTAAGAAATGTGTTTTCCTTGTTCATGTTGGTTCATCAGCTTCTTCAAGCCATAATAAATGTGTTACAGGGGCTGATGCCTTGATGAAACCCTCCGGTCATATTGATAAAGTGATGCACAGAATTGGTGGAGAAGAAGTTCTAAAGCATCGGTTGCGGTTGAAAACAACAATTATGGTTGTCAAACAGTTGGCTTTACAAGGAAGTTCTTTTAGAGGGCATGATGAATCTGATGATTCTTTGAATCCGGGGAATGTTCTAGCTTGGATTGGTTTTGCAGCGAAGTTGAATGATCAAATCAATAGTGTAGTTCTCCGTAACGCACGGGGAAATGTGAAATACACTTCACCAAGCATTCAGAAGGAGATATTGGGAATCATAGCAAATAGAGTCCGTTGTAAGATACGCGAGGAGATTGGAGATTCTTGTTTCTCTATTCTTGTTGATGAAGCAGTTGATGAAGCAGGAAGGGAACAGATGTCTATTATTTTGAGGTATGTCAGTTCTTCTGGTATAGTAACTGAACGCTTTTTCGCTCTCAAGAGTGTAGCTGATACTTCTGCAGAAACACTAAAACAAGCTATTTGTGACGTTCTCTTTCAGTATGACCTTCAAATTGAAAAATTGAGAGGTCAAGGATATGATGGTGCTAGTAATATGTCAGGACAGTTTAATGGAGTCAAGGCATTATTTCTTAGAGATTGCCCATATGCCTATTTTGTCCACTGTTTTGCTCACAGATTACAGTTGGCATTGGTTACTTCTGCAAAGGTATGTGCTATATGGGATTTCTTTTCCATATTGGATTGTATCATAAACGTTGTGAAGGCCTCTCCTAAACGGATCAGGGAGTTGCAAGCAATTCACAAAAAAGATATTGATGGTATGTTGGATGTTGGAGAAATTCAATCTGGACAAGGAGCTAATCAAATGACATCCTTAAAGCGTTCGGGGCCAACTCGTTGGGGATCTCATTATCATTCCATATTGAGCATTATGAACATGTTCAATGAAACATGTGTAGTGCTAGAGGATCTTTGCCGTTCTAAAGAAGGAGAACAACGAGCTCAAGCCAGAGGTGCTTCAAAAAATATCAAGACTTTTGAGTTTGTGTTCAATCTTCACTTGATGAAAGGGATTACGGATATCACGGATTTTCTTTGTCAAGCATTTCAACAAGAATCTGTTGACATTGTAGCTGCAGTTGGATTTGTTTCCATAGCAAAAGTTAAACTTCAAAAGCTACGGGATGAAGGATGGGACAAGCTACTCCAAGAGGTAAAATCTTTTTGCTCAAAACATGCCATAGAGGTACCTAATATGAATGCTACACTTGGACGTGGTGAGAAGCAAACAACTCTTGAGCACCGTTACCATTTTGAATACTTTAATCAATGCATAGATTTTCAGTTGGGAACATTGAATTCAAGATTCAATGAGTCATCAGTCAGATTGCTTTAGTTGAGTGGTGCACTAGACCCTAAAAGTTCTTTCCGGTCTTTTGATGAAGAAAATATTTACAGACTTGCTGAAGAGTTTTATCCTCGAGACTTTGAAGGCAATGAGATGAATTGTTTGAAGAATGAGCTAGGATATTATGCCGATCATGTGGTTCATAGTCAGGAATATGATGTTTCTTCCCTTGCAAAATTACTAGAGAAGCTGGTGGAAACAGGGATGGACGCACGGTACAGATTGATTTGTCGGTTGATTCGTCTAGTGTTGACATTGCATGTTTCAACGGCTACTACAGAGAGATCCTTTTCAGCAATGAAACATGTGAAGACTGATTTGCGCAACAAGATGGGCGATGAATTTCTTGCTGATTGCTTAACTATTTTCTTTGAGAGAGAGTATGTTATTAGTATGGATGAAGACTCAATTATTGATGAATTTGCTAAATTAAAAGACCGTCGTGTACAATTGACATTGTAATGCAAACTATAATTTTTTTTTTTACGGTATCTAATTTTATGTTCGAATCCGGCCCAGTGCACTTCTATATCCTGGATCCGCCGCTGCACTCCAGTCTCCAGTCTCCACAAGGGATGGTAATTTGAACCTGCCCCACCAGGTTTTACCCGACCTGACCCGCGATGGGGCGGGTATTACCCGACCCGCAGTAACGTGGGGCGGGGCATGGATACCAACTTCCGACCCGTCCTGTCCCGCCCCACCTTGTTCTTGGCCCATTCTATGCCAATTTCTTACGTCATCCATTCATATATCTCCTAATTTGACTTTTCTAGGTCAAGATTAACTAGTTAGACTTGATCTTTCAACTAAATAGACTCAATTACCCATTATATTATCACTATTATCCATTCATGAAGTCTTTTTCCATTCGTTTTATCATAAAAATTAAAATTTTGCTTGTATTTTTTTCAAATAGCATATTAGGATGGGTCGGCCCGCCCTGACCCGTAATAGCGTGGGGCGGGGCATGGATATTGAGGTACCCGCCCCGCTCCAACCCATTGCCATCACTAGTCTCCACGACTCTATACAGTATCCTTTAAAAAACACACACATCAAAGCTTTGTTTCCCTATTCCTCTTTGTGCTACCGCTTCTCTCCCTCTGTCGGATGATCCGAAGGTTCTCGCGGTTGATAATCTTCGTGATGACGTCGAGATCGTTTTGAACCACTAAGATGGTCGCTTATCTCTCAATAATTTTCCTTATCTCATCAAGGTGAATGAATTTTTTCTAGTGTTTATGTTTTATTGACTCCATAGTCTAGACATGGTCGATGAATATTATTTATTGTGTGGTTTTTTTATAAGGAGATAACACATAAGCGATCATTTGGGCAATTTGTTGGCTCTCAACTGGATGAAGAATCAACTAACTTTGTTCTTCAAAATATAGTTAGTAAAATATGGTACGGGAAAGTTATGTATAAAATACATACATGTATTATACTTCGTCTCTTAGCTAATGTTACGTTTAATAGTACGTTAATAGTCATAAATATATAAAATTAATTATTTTTATAAATTAATAAATGTGCAAAAAATAGTAAAGCTAATAGTTTATTTCATTAAATACGGATATTAAACATGTTATACGGGTTTTATACGTGTTTAGTATAGGAGCCGTCAAATGAACGAAAACTAATGAAACGACTTGACAATAATACAGATACGGAAGTTTTATATGGATAAAGTACGTACGGGTAAATATACGTGTATTAAACGGAGTATTTACTAACTATGTCAAATACACAAATTGAGGTTTAATTAAGTGTATATTTTGGTTTGAGTTAGTAGGTAGTGAGTCACGGTCTGTTGCGGTTTACTACGATAGACCGTGGTACAGACCACACAATAAAGGAGGAGACCGCAAACCAGACCAGACCATAGTTACGGTCTCACGGTCCAGACCAAACTATACGATACGGTCTAGACCACAGTTCCCCATACAGTTTGGTCTAGATTCCCAGCCCTATATAGGTTAGCATGGCGCTAAACACTACAAGAAATTTGACCTTAAGTGACAAATTAATTTTGTTGTCATAAAATATTTTTCATATTAGGTAACTAACTATGACAAAAAAAAGACTTGTCACATTTAATTGACTATATGTGACAAAATTTATATTTGTCATTCAAAGTTGTCATAATAGAGTTACATTGTGACAAAGTTGTTGTTGTCATTATAATTTTGTCACTATATGTCTTATTTACCGCGCAAATACTGCTACAGAATGACAAAACACCCCGTCACCTTATGGTTTGTCACATTATGTTAAAAAATCCTAAGATATGATAATATAATTTGTCATAATATGACGTGCAGAATGAAATAAACTTTTTCATTAATATATTTTTGTAGAATTTCTATTTTTCGTCCAGAATTCCAATTGGCGGGACTATTATTCCCCTTCCCTCCAAGACGAAAAAAACCCCCAACCCGCCTCTCTAACCCTTCAGCTCCAAGAACAGAAACCCCAATTCCATCTCCACTGCGAATTGAAAATTCGAAACCCCTCTCCCCACATCCTCTTCAGCGATTCGTCTGGGTACGTTCTCCTCCCCGCGAATCGATTGTCCGGTAAGTCTCGTTCTTCTCCTCGCCCTGGACTCCTTTTCCTCTGCGATTTTGGTTTTGATTTGCATGGTGGATACCTGATTCCGATAAAAGCAGAGTTGGGTTCCTCATGTTTCTTCTTCTATCTCTGTCGTTCATAGGCGCTCTTGCACAAGGGGTAGGGCTTTCCCTCTGAATCAACAGTCTCCGATTAACCAAGTTGCAACTTTGCTTCGACGGCCTGCCTTCCCTACCGCGAGTTCCCTCCGTCGATAATTCGAGTAAGTTTGGCCATCAATTTTGTGTAAGCCCAGTGTATGGATTGGCTTACATAGATAGCTGTTATGAAATTTTTGTAGCTGGTACGCGAGATGAGTTAATTTGATGCAATGGATTTGGATGAAGGCGACATTTGTGAAAAGTGTTTTTTGATGGGGATGGTTGTTGTTTGTGAAACGCCACTGTGCCATGCTGTTTGGGTTTAACTAAGATGACTGAAACATGATTGAAAAGATTAGTCCTTCTGATGATAACCTCAGCTACCCAGATGTTGAATTAGTAATTCTGATGACTTCCCTTGATCTGGTTGATTCTGAAACGCGTATGATTTGAAGCACCATGCTGTTTGGGTTTAACTAAGATGACTATCTCTCTGGCGTACTGTTTATCGCCTTTCTAAGTTCAAAAAGGCATAATTTGTTTACTAGATTTGAGCTACTTTGAACTGATTTCAAAGTTTAATGCTACATGCAGGTTATTTGTCTCTTTGGTCGATTACAACCTGCTGCGGCAAGTTACAGACTGCAATTAAAGGTTAGTTATACCTTAACGCGTAATGAGTCGTGAGTGGATAATGCTCAAAGATCATTGGTGTGCTGATTATGAGTTGGGTGTTAATGAGTTCATGGAAGTTGCTTCTAAGCATGTTGATGCAATTGGTAGGGTTAGATGTCCGTGCAAGAACTGCAATAATCTCTACTTTAAGACATTAGTCCAGGTGCGGGGAGACATATTTAATCATGGCATGGTCGAGACATATAAAATGTGGGTCCATCATGGTGAGTCTTATGGTGTTAGTAGTAACGGTGAAAACCCACCGACTGAGTCTGACGATGTTCATAATGAAGAGAGTGGGTTACAGACCGACATGTCTGAAATGTTGGGTGATTTTGGTAGGGCGAATGAGTGTCTAACAACCGCTGAACCTTCCCACGGTCCTAATAATAATGGTGCATTGGCAAGGCTCCTCAAAGATGCCAATTGCCCTCTTTACCCTGATTGCAAAAAAATTTCAAAACTGTCCTATGTTATGAAAATGATGAACATCAAGATACAGACAAACAGTAGTGATAAAGCATTCAACCAATATCTTGAATTAATCAAGGAAGGTTTACCGAATGGGGAAACACTTCCCACTTCGTTCTATGAGGTGAAGAAGTATATGCGTGATCTTGGATTTGGTTACACCATCATCGATGCATGTCCCAATAACTGTGTTCTGTATAGGGGGCAGCTTGAAGCTGCTCGAGAATGTCCAAAATGTAAAGAACCTAGGTTTAAATCTGGTAAATAGAAAGATGTTGCCTTAAAGAGAGCTAGATATTTCCCCATTAAGGATAGGTTGCAGCGGTTGTTCACTACCAAAGATCTAGCAAAAGATATGCGGTGGCACAAGGATAAACGCGTTGATGATGATATGCTTAGGCATCCAGCTGATGGTAAAACGTGGAAGGATTTTGATCGGGATCACCCTCGGTTTGCTGCGGATCCCAGGAATGTCAGACTAGCGCTGCTTAGTGATGGGTTTAACCCATTCGGTAACATGAGCAACAGCTACAGTATGTGGCCTGTTGTCTTAACCCCGTACAACTTACCTCCTTGGTTATGTATGACCGACCCTTTTTTTTTTCCTCAGTGTCCTGATTCCTGGTCCCGAATACCCCGGGAATAACATTCATGTCTATCTAGAACCCGTTATAGAACAGTTGAATGAGTTGTGGCATGATGGGGTTCTTACATATGATGCTCATGCAAATGAATCTTTTCAATTGCGTGTTGCATTGTTGTGGACCATCAATGATTTCCCTGCATATGCCATGCTTTCTGGGTGGAGTACTAGGGGTAAACTGGCCTGCCCAGTGTGCAACATTGAGACTTGTTCTCAACGTTTGGAATGTGGAAGCAAGGAGTGCTACATGGGGCATCGAAGGTGGTTGGACAAAGATCATCGTTGGAGGAGGAGTAAGAAGTTCAATGGGAAGCCAGAACACAGAAACAAACCTAAGCAATTATCAGGGGAAGAGATACTGCAACAGGTTGAAGCTGCGTTCAGTGGGGATGTTTCTATTCATGATGGTGGGAAACGGAAAAGGAGTGCTGCGAAATTTGGGTTAATAAACTCTGCATTTAATTACTCTACATCTTTGTTGAGTTTATACGTTTATAAGTGTTTGTCAATTTGCTGATGGTTTAACTCTGTTTAGACTGTGAGCAGAAATGCCACCGAGGCCTGAAAAGAAAGCCAGGACTGGGAAGCAGCCGATGACGGTCTGTGAACGAGTGACCAGATCCCATCCAGCGAGGAGTGTAGAGAATGCAGGGAGCTCGTGCATGGGTCCACTGAGGTCTCCGATAAAAAAATGCAGGTCTCCGAGGGGTAAAGGGAGGTCTAAGAGGGGTGAATGGGTGTCTCTGAGGGATGGAGGGAGGTCTCCGAGGGCTGAAGGGGGGGTCTCCGAGGGCTGAAGCGGTCTCTCCGAGGGGTGAAGACCGGGTGTCTCCGAGGGTTCCAAGGAGGACTACTGAACCTATTGACGAGATTGACGAGAATGCAGATAATACTGCCACATCCATGCCTGAACAACCGGAGAAGACAGGTGCGTGTTATCCTAACTCTTCTTTTGTCACTTGAGAAACATGGATTATCACATTTCTATTAGTGTTTTGGATGATTATAATTTGACCTACATCCATAGGTGGCCGAAAGAGGGGGCTGACCAAAGGTGTTCAAGTGATGGCACGAACCACTAGGGGGAGTAGGATCGATGGAGTATTCCTGCAGGAGAACAGCCACGCAATTGTGGGCCCTAACCAGAAGTTGCTGAACACAGAAGTTGGTGTCGTTGCTCGTATGATGGCTCCCATAAGGAAGTACTATTGGACTGAGTTAACTGATGAAGACAAACACCCTATGTTTGTGAAACTAGAGGTACGGTAATGTGTCTTTGTTAATTTAAAATTATCAATTGCATAGTCTGAATGCATGGAATTTGATGAAATTGTAGAGCGAGTTTGCATTTGCCTCAGCTACTGAAGAGGTGAGGAAGGCTTTAGATAAGAAACTCCACAAACGCTTCTTGAACTACAAGTACACCTGTCATAAACACTACAAGGAACTGGAAGACCCCACCAAAGCTCGTCTGAACCCTCCAGAAGGAGTGAAACAGGAAGACTGGGAGGCCCTCTGTGAGCACTTTGAGAGTGATCGATTCAAGGTAAAACTTGCCATGTTTGGATATTTGATGACACTTGTATAAGATGACAGCTTAGCACACATTTCTGTTTGCAGGGGCGGAGCACAAATAATATACAAAACAAGGCTAAGCAGCAGTATGCTCACACTACTGGGGCAAAATCCCACGACCAGAGAGTGTATGAAATGGTAAAGCATTAAGTTTTATTTACATCTTTGTACAACTACAAATCTGAATTTGAACAGATGACCATAAACTAGGGGTAAACAGGCCACTTACCACACCTTTACCATGTTTGAACATTTGAACTATCATGTATAGGAGCAAAAGAAGCTGGCTGCACAAGCAGCTCAAACGGAGCAGGTAGATGATGACCAGGATGCTGAGGATGATGAGGCGGTGCCCGTTGATATTGAGCTGTATGCCAACACGCACAAGAAGGCAAGTGATGGTACTTGGGTGAGCGAGGAACTGAAAGCGAATTATGTAAGCCCTTCTGCTCCTCTTAAATTGTGTACCTAGTCCACGAACATGAATGGATATTCGATGTATAGTTATTGTAATAGGTTGATTGAATTAAGAAGGATCAATTATTACTGTGGTCTGGTTTATTATGCGCCTCCTATTACTGTGGTCTGACTTTTATTTTGCTTTGCATCTTGTTGTGGCCTGTATATTTGGGTGGTGACTTTTATTTTGGTGCAATATAGGAGGCCATGATGGCCCTCCATGCCCAAGCAAAGGCAGATGAGAATCCACTGCTGGGTCGTGACATCGTTCAGAAGGTCTTGCAAAGGAAGCTCAAGTATGGACCTAAAGAAGCAGTGAAGAAGTCGGCAAGAGAAGTTCAGCTGGAAGCAGAACTGGCAGCAGCAAAGGCAGAGGCGGAAAGTAAGACGAATGAGTTGGAGGCCAAGCTGGTAGAGCAGGATGAGAAGATTAAAGCTCGGGATGAAGAGATTGAAAAACATAAAGTAGAGCTTGATATGCAACATGAACGTTTGGCTAACCAAGGGGTAAAGATGGAACAAATGCGCAAGGCACAAGAGAAGATGCAAAAGAGTATGGAAACTGTCCTCGCCAAACTCAGCAAGAAATGATTGCACCAGGTACATAGCTATTATTGAATGCATGAATTTCATCTATAGAACTTAGTCAATCTGTTAGGAACAATTATGCACGAATGTGAAGTCTCAATCTAGCTTCTTCTCAAATTGCAAGTGCAGGTGTGGACGCATCCCTGCACGACCGTGTGTTCATATGACTTGAGGAGGTTGCGTCTTAGCGAATGTTTTCCTGAACGGATTTATTTATAAGTAGTTGTCGGCTGCAAACCCATTTTGGACAATATGGTTGTGTCGAACAGAATGTAGGAGTGTGTGATGTGATGCAGGAATATTATCTATTTTGCGTCTTTGTAAGCTGTGAGCTAGGACCCTGAATATTCAGCATTTACTAAATGAATGTGACTGTCGTCTTGTTTTATTACATGTTTTATGTGTATTTTGCTTGTCACATTTACTGCTTACAGGAACGAACAAATTATGACAATGTTCCATTATCAGTTTATGTTTTAAATATGACAAACAATTCAGTATCCTGACGTATATATTGTCAGATAAATGGTATTACGACAAAGCAGATCCATACTATGACAAACTGGACCGTCACTGAATACATAAAATATGACAAAATTATTTTATCATATGTGATTTCTAAGGGCACGTGCCCTACAGCTTAAAGTGACGAATGTGAATGACAAACAGTTCCCTCATAATATCTCGTTTAGTCAGTTGGTTGTATTAAAGTGTGACAAAATAAACAGTCTAATGTGACAAGATCTTTCGTCATGGTAGGACAACATATTATGACAACGATATATTGTCAAGCTGTCCGAACAATATTATGACAACCGAAAAATTAAACTTTGTCACATTAGACCTAATACGACGGAGCAAAGCTGATAAAGCCTTTTTGTCATAACACTTGTCACATTAGACAAAAAGTGACAAAATGGCACACTAAAATGACAAATTGGGTGCGTCACAAAATACCTAATTTCTTGTAGTGTAACCATAATTTTAGTTTGGATGCATCATTTTAGTTATGTGGTACGAATCATAATGTTGCATTATTTTGTTATGTGACATTTTATGTGGTATTTTAATTTGCAATGTGATAATTCGTCTAATTGTATTATTTGTATAAAACATTCAAATATTGTAGTATTTCACTACTTAATGAAAGGGTGAAGTGAAAAAAAAAAAGTTGAGAGATGAGTTATTTAAAATAATTAGGGGGTGGGGAGGTATTTCAAATAACTCACAATGAGTTATTTCAATTGTCTCATGGACAAAAAACATATTTCATTTTATTTTTGCCAAACGAGTTATTTCGACCGCAATAACTCATTTGGCCAAAATAACTCATCGAATTATCTCATTCAAACGACCTGTTACTATCGTTAATTGCTTTTCCGTAGGAATGGTAACTGGTGGGATTTGGATAAGTATCATCAAATCAATGCCCCACCTTGCTTTTTAAGTCTACGATCCATTCTGCCTCGTGCTTCGCAACGTGTCAGCACTTGTCGATCCAAACATTGCCCCATGTGGGACAATTAAAATCCTCCATGGCCCTGGGAAAACTGATGCGGGGTTGGTGGTAATATAGAGGAATGTATTGATCGTTTTGTGGCAAATGACGACCGGAAAGAACTCTTTAGAAATGCTAGGGTGTTGAATGGAGAGGCGGAAAGATCGGACCACATACCTATAATATATGATAGCCTCGTTGAGGAAGATGAGGAAGTAAAGTGGAGCTGGTCTTTTAGATTTGAATCACATTGGGTAAAACATGGTGACTGCCCGCGAATCGTGGAGGAGGCGTGGAATGCGACGGGAGGAAGTGTGTTCACAAGATTTGAACAGGTACGCAACAAGCTGTTAGACTGGAATATTAAAAAAGCTCTCCAAGTGCTTGATAGAGTTCCCAAGACAGAACTGGTCCTTCAACAACGAAGACAATTACAATCTGAATTGGAGGAGGTAGAATGTGATGAAGAGATAATATGGAAGCAGAGGTCGAGAGCCAACTGGATACGGGGCGGAGACAAAAATACTAATTACTTCTATAAAAAAGCAACTGCTCGACGAAAGCAAAACACGATCAAAAGATTAAAGGATGAGGTTGGTCGATGGTATAGAGGAACCCAAGATGTGTTCACCTATTTGATAGACTACTTCGGTGGCCTTTTTAAAGCAGGCAAACGACCTGACCAAACTCTGGTACTTGATTGGGTGGGGGTCCGTGTTACACCAGAGATGAACCAAAATTTGGTACGACCGTTTTCGAGGGAGGAAATACATGGAGCGCTTCGTCAAATGGGGAAAAGGAAAGCTCCTGGGGAGGATGGTTTGTAAGTCCTATTATTTGTGAAGTTATTGCACGTGGTGGGGGATGCAGTTACTGCGTTGATCATGGAGGTCTTTGAAAGGGAGAGCCTGCCACCAAACCTCAACCATACATTGATAGTCTTAATTCCAAAAGTGAAGGATCCGTTGACGTCTATGTAATTAATGTGCTTTACAAGATTATTGCAAAAATACTGGCGAATCGACTGAAGATGTTTTTGGATAGTGTCATCTCACCAAAGCAAAGTGCGTTTGTGCCGGGACGTTTCATTGCAGATAACATTATGATGGCTTCGAATGTTTCCACACTATGAAGATTAAATCCAAGAACAAGAAAGGTTACTTTGCCGCCAAAACGGATATTGCGAAGGCTTATGACAGGGTTGAATGGTATTCCTACAAGAAATAACGAGAAAGATGGGATTTGAAGAGAGATGGATTTGGTTGGTGATAATGTGTGTTACGACTATCTCTTACTCCATCCTTGTGAATGGACATCGATCGCTAGTGTTTACACCGAGTCGCGGACTCCGTCAGGGTGACCCTCTCTCACCGTACCTGTTATTGGTGGTGACAGAAGGGCTCTCCTCTTATACTGCGAGAGCTATCCAGGAGAAAAAAGTTACATGGTTTGCAGGTTGCCAGGGGTGCTCCGGCGATCTCACACCTGTTTTTTATGATGACTCTATTTTTTTGCCAGGGCTACTCTTAAATGAAAGCATGGAGTTGAAGAGAATCCTCAAGGCGTATAGCTTGAATGCGAACAACGGATTAACTTCGAGAAGTCGGAGGTGTACTTTGGGGCGAATTTCAAACCGCATCAAGGGTTGTAGGTGGGCTCCGCTCTAGGCATGAAGGTGGTGGAGAAACACGACAAGTATCTTGGCCTAGCAACAGAAACAAGGAGGTCAAAGAAAGAGCTTTTTGTAATCTTAAAGGAGCGGGTTAGGAAGAAGTTGTCGGGATGGAAGGAAAAGACTATGTCAGTGGCGGCACGGGAGGTACTCATCAAGTCTGTGGCCCAAGCTCAACTTAACTATGCGATGTCGGTCTTCAAAATTCCTAAGGGAATAATTGACGACATCCATAGTATTATCATGCAGTTTTGGTGGGGCCAACAGGGAAATGAGAAGAGAATCCCATGGATTGTGAGGGAGAAACTACTAGCAAAGTCGAATGGCAGTATGGGGTTTCGAGACCTGCGAGTCATGAATTTAGATTTCCTAGCTCGACAATTATGGAATCTTCATCAGCGCGCTCAGTCCTTAATTGCCAAGGTGATGAAAGCCAAGTACCATAAACATCATTTGGTTCTGGAAGCGAAGGTTGGACCTCGGCCGAGCATTGTATGCCGGAGCCTAATGTGCACACAAGAATGGTTATGTGATGGGCAAAGATGGCGGATCAAAAATAGGGACCAGGTGCGGATCTGAGGAGATCGTTGGATCCTTTCTGTGCTGGGGTTTTTTTGTCCAGTCCGCACCAATGGGACTTCCGGTGGACTCGAAGGTGAGCTAATTTATTGACCTGCAAACAGAATAGTGAGAATCAACATTAATCGAAAGCTGCTTTCCGACAGCGATGGCTCAGGCCATTATGCAAATTCCACTGCGAGGAATTGATGAGGTTGATAAGCTTATTTGCGTCGAGAGTCAGCATGGTAAGTATGAGGTGCAAGACGGGTACCGAAGATGGTTAAAAGAGTTTCCTCGAACGCATGTTATTCAACCGGTTGGGGAGGTGAGGGTGTGGAATAGTATCTGGAAGATGAACGTGCCCCCAAAGGTTAGACATTTAATATGAAGATTTGCGCGTAACTCATTGACGACAGGTGATCGTGTCAGCTCCAAAAGCAAAAGCAGAGGAGATGCATGTCATTTTTGCGACCTGAGAGAGACACAACTCCATCTTTTTGGGGAATGCAGCTGGTCGTGTTAGATTTGGAGAACCTCCAATCTGTCACAGTGGTTCGACTTGCGGGAAGGTGGGGGCTGTCTACTTTGGACCCAGAACGTCTTGGACAAGGCCACAATGAAATCACCGAAAGAGGAAATTGCGATGAGAGTGGCTACTTTCGTGGACGAGTACCAACAATACTAGGTGAATGTGATGTCGCCCCCAACCCAGGAAGTGTCACAGCGATGGATGAGGCCGGCGGTTGGACGAATCAAAGTTAATACAGACTATGATATTGATGAAGAAGGAATGGGGCTTTTTCTGATGATAAGAGATGTCGAGGGTCGATTTATAATGGTTGTAGCTAAATGAACGCGAGGAGGAAATAACCCGGAGCTGGGAGAGGCCTTAGTAGCGGAAATGGGTCTACAGATTGTTGCCCAACACTAGCTTGGAGTGCTTACTTTCGAGGTGGACTGCATGAATCTTGTCAAGAGTATTAATGTAGCGTATGAACTCCATACCGAGGTTAGCGTGGTGTGCAGGAAGATAAAGAAACTCATGTTGGAGGTAGGAGGTGGTGATTGGCAGTATACTAGCCGGAAGGGAAATAAAGCAACACATGTCATGGCTCATACAAGAACTAGATGGGACGAAGTAGTAGTCTAGTTTGACAGACCACCCGTTTTTCAGCTTAATCAGCTAAAGTCGGATGATGTAACAGTTTCGCATGATTAATAAAGCTACGTGCAGATTTCTAAAAAAAACCTCCATGTCCCGTTTACAAGCAACCCCATCTCTCTCTTTCTTTCTTTCTTTCTTTCTTGTGTCTCTCCCTGTTATGTTTCTGTCGTCGTCTTCTTCTTCCTTCTCTCTCTATCTCCCAATCTGTCTCTGTTGCAACTGCAAGAGAGCTAATTCATTAATGGAGCGCAAATTTGAAAGAAGATGGAGCACATAATTGGGAAGGTAATACATTGATTATTTGGGTTGGAGAGAATCGAGAAATGTAGGATTTGTTTTTTTAGTTTGGACCAAGTTGTAATGTTGGGATAAGGCTCAGGGCGTGGATGGTGGGGATTTTTGGTGTGTTTGTAGTGTAAATTGCTTAGGTACAACAAGATAGTGCAACATAGATAATCAATGCTCGCTTTGTTTTAGTTGTATATCGGATCAAGATCCGCTATGTTCTAGCACAAATTGGATTTATCCGCCCCAACACGAATTAGATTGGGAAACATCCATAAGACCAAGTCTCAATGGTCATCCCTACTTTTCCGTTTCATCTTGCAGTTGGATTTTACAAAGAAACCGCTTATATTGTACTTTGATAGAAACCATCACACAAATATGGAACCTACTATCAAATCCAGATTCCCTGGTGACAAAAATTATGAAGGTGAAGCATTATCCTAACACAGACATTTTGCAAGCCAAAATCAGGGACAATCCTAGCTACACATGACAAAGCATACAAGTAGTACATAAACTAGTGAACGAGGGGGTACGATGGAGGATTGACAATGGTTGAAGTGTAGAATTTATAAAGCTTATTCTTAAGGTTCATGTATTATAGATAATCATTGTGATTGTAAGTTTGTCTAGCGAATGTCTATATTTTTATACAAAAACATATGTTGCTTCATGTATATTATTCCTAACTATTTTCGTTATTACTATACTGTTTTTAAATATACTAAACACGGCTAAATCTTCCGTAGTGCAGTGTAGCGGTGGTATTGATACTACTACCTAAACAGATTAGCTTGTCCTATAAACAAACAACATGTCTTAGAATAGGGACGAGTTGTTCTCAACAAATGAAGTTGATTGAACAAAACGATAAGGGTGATCGATCATGGAGCATCAGAGTCTGAAACAGGATTCTCATGGGAAGATCACATAAACAGAGGTATCAAACTTATTACTGTACCACTTACAAAGAAAGAATGCTTCATCTGCATCACCCTAATGCAGCATGACAGACAGTGCGATTGAGGTCAACAAAATCACCATCAACTTTCCCAGTCTACTTCCTGCAACTTATTCTCCCAATATACTGCCGATATCTTCAGTATGCACACCTGAAGTGTGGCACAGTGCTAGGGGAGGGAGCATTTGATCATTGTTCTTATCAATCATACGCCAAAACACACTAATAAGTTCCAAGGATAAGATATCGCAGTTGTGTCGCCTCACTACATCCAGCTGAGACACTCATGAAATTCTACTGCTCCACCCAACTAAGCTAGCTTCCCAATTAACAGTTGACTACTATCCACCCACCCCAAAGTGGATTGAAACCATGAAAATGAAAGTGAATGATCAGGTAACAGCAGTTTCACTGAATAACAACTCCTTATTGACTAGAGCTCTGAGAATCAACATAAGACACACTAGAAACAAACGAGGACACTTGAATCTTGACAAACACATTTCTCAGCTAGGGTTCAAACACTTGCACACATCTTACAACCATCTCCTGAAACCGATCAGAGAGATATCATCGCCAACATGCCAATGAACCCAAACACCATAAGAGACAAAGCAAGCGTCTCCCAATTTAAAATTAGCAACACCTTACATATATATACAAGATACATTATAAAGCGAGCAACCCAAGTTCACACCATCCATGGAACTCACATACCAACGATCACACAAGATAATACCTTTCTTCCTTGACGGCGCCCTCAGGACTCAATACTCGTGACGGTAGTCCCGATAACCAGCGAAACTCTCCCTGTCCGGAGCTTTCTCCCTCTCGTAGTTGCTCCCGGATTCTTCAAGATTCAGCCCACCCATACTGCTGCTGAGCTCTGTAGCGCCTCCTTTCACACCCCCATATTGGGATGAATAGTCCACAGGAGCTGAAGGTCCGCTGGGTCCTCCATACACAGATGTCTTCGACAATGACACTGATGGCTGAGGCATCACCTTGTGATCATAAGGCTGCGCTGGCGGTGATGGTGCCGATATGTCAACCGGAGCAGAAGGCCCGCTCTGCAGGTTGTAGCTGGAAGCCCGATTGTACAAAGGTCGAGATGGCAGAGGCGGCTGCGGAGGGTAATAGGCCGAGTAGTAGCCATACTGGTCTGGATAATTGTACGGAGCTGGAGAGAACTCCCTGTAATCCCGACTGGTCATAGGGGCTGGAGGCGGCGGAGGGGCGGCGGCGTAATAATGGGAATAGTTAGGGGCACTATGGTAATCTGGAATTTGGTGAGATACCTGCTGCGGCGGAGGGGGAGCAGGCATGGGCGGAGGTGGGGGCATGGGGCGTTCTCTCAAGGCGAGCTTCAGGCGAACCTTACCGTGGGGACGGCCGGAGGGACGGAGAAGCTCGAAAGATCGGATTGCGGCCGGAGACTCGTCGGAGTCGAGAATCTGCGAGAGAGGGATCTTCACGGCGCCCACGAGAGGCTTGGGGGTTTCCGATGGCCTGGAGTGCAAGATCTCCAGTGTGAGGACCGAATCGGCGATCATTCGAGTCACCGGGAGCGTGAATCGCTCGTTCCATACGGGACGAGTGGAGCCGGAGTCGTCGGCGTGAGTGGCGAGCCTGTGATCGGAGTTGTCCAGGTAGATGGTCGCGTAGGGTTTCAGATCTCCGTTTCTCCAGTTGACGTTCTTCAGGTGCTTAGCTGAGATTATGGTGATCTCGAGGTCGAACGGATTGTGGCTGTGGGACGCCATGGTTTCCAGTCACCTTCAGCGTCGCCGGCGGTTGCTAATGTGCGCAGGTGGGGTGTAGATTGTAGAATTTTCTTCACGGAGGAGAAGGTTTGTTTTGGCCTTTGGGAGAAGAAATCGCATTTCTGGACTCCACTCCACTAAGCTAATTAGTCGGGTTAAATTTGGATAAGAATTCATTCATGTGGGCCCTGACCCTGAGCCCTGTTATGTAATTCAAAAGCCCAGTTGAAACGACCCCGTATCATCGAGGCAACCATGCGACGCCGTTTCTTATCTTTCAAAGGCTTTCCTCTGTGGATAAGCTGCCTCGCAGCCATAGCTAGACTGGTATAGAATTTGCTCTTCTCTGCCTCCAATCTCTTCCCCCGCCGTTGTCTCCGAGAGCTGAAAGCAAATGGCTGCCAGCGCGACGAAGCCGCCGACTGTTGCTCTATCCTTCTTTTCCTCCTCGCTCTTTGCCTCCTCTGCCAGGCATGAGATCCCGAAGCTCATTTCGGTCTCTAATCGAAACTCGAATTCTACTGCCTCCAAATCAGCCGCCAAACCTCTCTCCATCTCCTGCCAAGTCGCAACAATCCCGATTCTGTCATTCACCGGGGAGAAGATCGGAGAGACGTTCTTGGACCTGAAGTCCGCCCCGCCGGAGACGGCCCGCGCCGTCGTCCACCGCGGAATAATTACCGACCTCCGGAACAAGCGAAGAGGGACGGCCTCGACGCTGACCCGAGCCGAGGTCAGAGGCGGCGGGAGGAAGCCGTACCCGCAGAAGAAGACGGGCGGGGCGCGTCGGGGATCCCAGAGGACTCCGCTCCGCCCGGGAGGAGGAGTTGTGTTCGGGCCGAAGCCCAAGGACTGGTCAATCAAGATAAACAAGAAGGAGAAGAAACTGGCGATGTCGACGGCGCTGTCGAGCGCGACGGAGAGCATGATTTGCGTGGAGGAGTTCGGGGAGAAGTTCGAGAAGCCGAGGACCAAAGATTTCATCGAGGCGATGGCGCGGTGGGGGCTGGACCCGAAGGAGAAGGTGATGTTCCTAATGATGGATGTGAGCGACACTGTTGGGCTGTCGAGCAGGAACATCGGCACGCTGCGGATGCTGACGCCGAGGACCCTCAATCTGTTCGACATTTTGAACTCGGATAAGCTGGTGCTGACGCCCGACACCGTGGATTTCTTGAACGGGAGGTATGGAGCGGAGTACAGCGAGGAGGGAGATGATGAAGACGAAGAAGGCGGAGAGGTTGAGGAAGAAGAAGAAGGCATTCAAGGTTAGTTTCTTCGATTCCGAACATACAAGGATCTGGGTACTTCTGTTTGTTTCGTGTAATGCAAGGTTGTCTCATGTTCTGCGATTTTGGGATGCAGGGGTTGAGGTTGTAGCTCCAGAAGGAAATGCTGATGCTACAAGTTAGGTTTTGGTAATGGTATGATATCATCATACATAACTTTTGTTGAATCCTCCATTTACCAGTTTTCTCCATTCTAAGCAACAATGTGCACTCAATCTGTTGTTTGTTTTCCCGAGAGAAATGTGGCTAATTATGTAGTCTATAAAATGGTTTGATTTTGATCTCGGCGCCGAGTTCTGTTCGCTTCGATGATGGTAGTCAATCTGTTTCCCAGCTCTTCTGGAATTGTTATATTGGTTCTGCATTGCAAATAGCATCTTCTAGTTCTGGGCTCTCGACTTAACAACTAGCAGAGTGGTGACTGTAAGGGGGATGTATCTCTACTTGTAGGAAGAGTAGCTGGGTTCCGGAAGAACTTGTTGTTAGGTAATGTCTGAGCGAATTCATCCATCTCTGAGGAGCAACAAGTCCATTTTGTGAGAATCCTGACGTAATTCAGCCACAAAGGATTGAGGACAACATTTTGATTCAGTCATTTCTGTTATTTTTACCTGTATCATTTTCCATTATTGTGAAAGCTTTGCAAGCACATGTACGAGATGGCAAGTGTGAGCAGGAAGACCTTAATCAGAAAATCAGTCTCTGGATCATCTATTGCTTTAAGTTCTAACTCATGAAGTAGCCAGGTTTAGAACGTTTCTTTGCCGAATTTACTCATGTACTGGAGTGGTAGCAACGAACCAAATGCAGGGAAAGACCAGGAATCAGAATGAATGAATTATTCACCAGCTCTGTCATGATCCGAAATCCAAAGGGATTGGAACATGAAGCTGAAATTAGATTATGTACAAGCTACATACTTGTTTCCCATCAGGAATAAGTTTGATTCTCATGTGTACAAGTACAAGCTTGCTAGAAGGAGCAAGGTTGTCGCCTATTTCTGTTTCATGAAGAATTATATCTTTCAAACTAATTTAGCTGCATATTGGTCATGACTTGTGAACTATGACAACCTGCAGCAGTATGCATTACGATTGATTTCTCGCAACAGATCGATAATATCCCAGAAAATGGTCGATTTAAGTAAACATGGATTGGCAAAATGGCAGAATTATAAAGACTGGCAATGGCATGCTGCTGTTACTTCACAGCCATCCAATCCAAGTGATAAACAGAGGCCACACCTGCAGGAAGCTGCTTTCCCTGTGCAAGAACATAAGAAAGCAAAAAAAGAAAATGCACGCTCCCTACGCAGGCATTATCCTGTTCAGGTTCGAAGGGACTTTCTCAGCCTGACCTGCCCCGCGGCCAGTGGCCAAAGGCAGATACAGGCACCCCTGGTGCGTTTCTTTCATCAACATTGTGACGATAGAAGGAAGAAAGAAAAAACATAGAATAGCCGAATGCAAAAGATAGATAGCATCCATGGAACACTTTTATTGATGTCACACAAGAGAAGCAGAAGCAAAAGATAAAGTCTCCAAATCCAAACTATCACACTTGACTCGGACGTCAACTTACCCACATCGCGAAATAGAAAGGCAGCCTGGGGTTATTCTTCCTGAATAGCTAGCTTCCCAGGATTCCTGAGCTTTGTTCAATAGCCAACCAGCTGCAGTCTCACAAGTTCCTGACAATGGAATTCCAGATGACAAACAGTTAAGTTTTGCATCAGACAAGGATCCAAGGGATGTCACAAAGTTACATAGAGCTTGCTTGAGCAAGTTATGTTTGTCCATTTCTGTTAGAAGACTAACCTCTTTACCTATCAGTGGAGCTGACATGGCTCGCCGGTATGTAGATTTCTCCACCAACTTCACCGTGCTGTTCGCCACTGTTGGTTTTCTTAGCAGCCAGGAATTCAGCGCTCATAGCAGCCATACCTTGCTGCACAGCTTCCTCTGCACTACCATAACCATGCTCCTCAGCATACTTGCGCACATCCTCTGTTATCTTCATGGAGCAGAATTTGGGGCCACACATGGAGCAAAAGTGTGCAACTTTGGCCCCGTCTGATGGTAAGGTTTCATCATGGAAGGACATGGCAGTCATGGGGTCCAAAGACAAAGCGAACTGGTCCATCCATCTGAACTCGAATCTGGCCTTGCTTAGTGCATCATCCCAGTCTTGAGCATGAGGATGGCCTTTAGCCAAATCAGCTGCATGTGCAGCTATTTTGTATGCAATAACCCCAGTCTTTACATCATCTCTATTCGGCAGGCCAAGGTGCTCCTTTGGCGTGACGTAACACAGAAGTGCAGTTCCAAGAGTTCCAATATTGGCAGCACCAATGGCAGAGGTGATGTGATCATATCCAGGAGCAATGTCGGTTGTTAGTGGACCAAGAGTGTAAAAGGGTGCTTCATTGCACCATTCCAGCTGCTTTTGCATGTTCTCCGGGATCTTGTGAATTGGTATATGTCCTGGTCCTTCATTCATAACCTGAAACAAAGAGCAACAAAAGCTTGTTATCAGACAATCTCGAAACAAAGAAAGAATGTAACTTCCCTGAATGACCTGGTTATCTGTTTGCAATAGTTTATTCTATGCCAGGGCAAACGAAAAGGTTAAGCTTTCAAGCCACTGTTGGCCTCATATGCTAACTACACTAAAAAATACCATGGTCATTAAGTCCTCAGTCAATGTACAGAGAGCATCAAATGACAAATATTATGACTTCGGCATATTACCTGAACATCCTTTTTCCAGGCTCTACGGGTCAGTTCACCCTGTGTTAAGAGCTCTGCAAATTGAGCAGTGTCATTGGCATCATATATGGACCCAGGTCTAAGTCCATCACCAATAGACAAAGATACATCATACTGATTGCAGATATCTAGTATGTCATCCCAGTGTTCATACGCGAAGTTTTCCTGGTGATGAGCTAGGCACCACTTTGCATGAATCGATCCTCCACGAGAAACTATTCCAGTCATGCGCTTTGCTGTTAGAGGGACATACCGCAGGAGCACCCCAGCATGGATAGTGAAGTAGTCCACACCCTGCTCAGCTTGTTCAATCAGAGTGTCACGGAAGACCTCCCAGGTAAGGTCTTCAGCGATCCCATTAACCTTTTCAAGAGCCTGATAGATGGGAACAGTACCAACTGGAACAGCTGAGTTGCGCAGAACCCATTCCCGGGTCTCATGAATATGGCGGCCAGTGGAAAGATCCATGACAGTGTCAGCACCCCACATAGTAGCCCACTGAACCTTGTAAACTTCTTCCTCAATAGAGCTCGCAACAGCAGAGTTTCCAATGTTGGCATTAACTTTGACCAAGAAATTCCTTCCAACAATCATGGGCTCAAGCTCAAGGTGCCTTTTGTTGGAAGGGATGATTGCTCTTCCTCGAGCGACCTCAGACCTCACAAACTCTGGGTCGAGATTTTCGCGAGTAGCACAGTACAACATTTCCTCAGTGATAATGCCGTGCTTGGCATAGTACATCTGCGTGTACCTAGGACCACCAAGCTTCTCCCTCCTGTCAATCCATTCTTGCCTGAGCTTAGGAAGTCCTGTTTCAATCAAGTCGTAAATAAAAAACAAGTGCATAAGATTTCCAAGCCCTTCCATGTAGAAGATGGGTCTTAAAACCAGACTTGAGCTTCATACCTAGACGTGGGTCGATATTCTGTGGACCACTGGTGTCATAGTTATCAAAACTGGGTTCATCCCCCGACAAGTGGACTCGGCGGAAAGGAACTTTGAGGACATGGCCAGATTGTTCGTGTGTAACTTCCCTGTAAGGAAAAAAAGTCAAGAAACGTACAAAAACATTTGTGACCCATTACACCTCCCCACAGAAAACACAGCAATAATTGAATATTTGATTGAAAAGAAATCAGGAAGGGAAGCTAAAAGCTTCAGATTATAATTGCAAATCAGTAACCTGTGTTCTTTAGTGCTCTTGGGAAAACACTGTTCAAAGGATGGAAGGGGAACGAAATCTGGAGAGGCAGGGTCGATGGTATGCTTCCTCTGTCTTACTTTCTCGGCATCTGCCGTCGGTGGATCAAATGTTAAGGTCGCTCTAGCACCATAGGACAGTGAACGTGAGGGAGAATTCTCCTTCTTACTCAGACCGGAGACGCCTCGGCCAAAAACATCGAACCCCGGCAGGAAGGCAGCTGTGGAGAACTTGGCCGAAGCAGAATTGTTGCCATTCTTGCATACAGCAGCTGATGTGAGAGCAGCAATAGCTTGCACTGACGCCATCTGGAAAGGACATATACAACATAATTCAAAATCGTTTTCCGATTCAATACTGATTCTAAGAAGATTAAGCGATCAAATATAATAACTCTCTGATTGCGATTCTCGCGTTCTGTATGTCAAGCGAGAAAGCGTAACAGTTAAACGAGCAGCAGACAGTAGCAGTACGAAAGATGGATAGAGATGAACCGTCCACTTCCCGGAGATAATTTCTCGAGAACGGATCAAGTGTACCACAATTCGCGATCAAAATTCAAATGAGATAAAGAAGATTGGGCATGAAATTGTCTACAGATCATCGCCGCACAAATTTGCAAAGGAGATCGGACGTTAAGCTTACCAGAGAGAGGCGGGCAGCGGCGGAGTGAGGAAGTCCGATGAACGGAGGAGGAGAGGAGACAGGAATGCAGAAAGAGAGGGAGCGGCTGAGGTCGGAAAGGGAGACCGGGATGAAGTGATGAACTTATCTCTTCGAACTGCGTGAGCCAGCGAGCGAGCGTAATAATGCTCGCACTATAGTGGTCACAAATCACAATCTACGTCGTCACTTTTCCCTCCACTTGTCGTTTCTGTAGGAGAAATAAATAAAAATAAACGAAAACAATAATAGAGAAGGGAAAGTGCTGATGATGACATGGCTGTTGCCTTTGGTGTGTGTTGTGACTAATATCTATGGTTAGTGTGTGATATATGATATAAAATTGAATTTTTCCTAACAACTCGAGTTATATGGAGCAATTGGTTAGGGTTAAGATCAGGTGATTAAGGGGGTCCCCTTAGTCACAGGACTAAACCAATCTCAGCCTTTGTATAGTTCGTATGTTTGTATGGTTTGTACTGACTGTAAGTCCGGTTTGTATACTTCGTAATTTTCCATAATACCCAAACTACCCCTGTCATTAATTAAATAGCCCTTCCCACTTTTTAACCATCAGATTGATGTGTCCAGATCTAAGGGCTGGGAGGGGCTTAGTCAAGTGACTAAGCACCCCCCCCCTAGTCACCGGATCCGCACTCTAATTGGTTATGACATGGTATCAGAGCCTTTTATGACTGAGAGGTCTTGTGTTCGATTTTCGGTGACCCCATTTGTTAAGCACATGGTATTTGGACCTATGCAAACTTCAAGCCCTTGTGAGTAACTTTCGTTTGAGGCGGGTTTATGACAGATATTTGGTAAACACTAATTATTAATCAAATGTTTATTGTATTTTTAATTATTCAAACTTAATGAACTACAAATAATTAGTTAAATTATTTTAAAATATATCAAAATATTAGTCATTTTACATTATTGTTAATAATTTTATAACTCTTTTCTTAGTTAAAATATTAAAAGTTTGGAATGTTGACCTCTATGTGTCTCTTCCAAGTCAATATCATATTTCTAAGTCAATATTACTAATAAAATTGTCAAGTGAAAGTTAACATTTGGCCAATTATTAGAAATTCAATAGGCTTGGCTAATAAAACAGAATGCGAGAAAGATTTGGCTAATAATTAGTGTTTACCCAAAATATTTCCATTAATAATGTGTATCTTGTTCAGTGTAGCTAGAATGGGCGAACCAACCGGCTCCAACCCCTTCTGTTATGTCCGTGAGACTCAACTCTGTAATTAATTAGGGGTGGGCACGAGGAGGGGGATCGTGGATCGTGTACTTGCCTATTTGGACGGGGCACAGTGTCCTATTGCCGGGGGGGTTGTATCTGAGGTGTGGAGGTTACTAAAGTGCGGATAAGTGTAATGGTCATGTCTCCCAATTGCCCTTCTAGTAGTGTCTACTGGCTCAATGTCACCAGAAGCAGCTTCCTCGACTAGAGATATACCTAGCTTCCTTTAAATGGGTTCTACCCATCCGCACACTAGCCGATGAGTCAGTAATCATGGACTCACCTAACTAGCATCAACTAGGTGAGCTCCTAATTGGAGGGAGATGATCACCTCTTGCTCTAATTATGCCTCTAGATAATTTAATCAAGGTAAAATACATCAACAACAACTAACCTTGGGCTAATTCATGCAACATACCATATCATGGATCAAACCACAACTACAAGTATTAAGAACACTAGTTGAACACAAAATATGTTATAGATATCATTCAATCAACAAAACCTAGCTTGTTATATATATACGCGCTGCTACGGATCGGGAAATCGCCGGAATCGATAAAGCAAGAATACGAAAGCGAGAATCGAAAAACACAGACACACGATTTACGTGGTTCACTAACACGATGTGTGTTAGCTACGTCCACGGGCGAGAGAGAGCCAGTTTCACTATATCGAGGAGATTACAGATTACAGAGGAGTATGAGAAGTATTTATAGTACTTCTCCATGTGATTACAGATTACTATAGCGAGACCCCCGATTACCAGTCGTAGCGGCTGATAGTCCGATTCAAGTCACATCAACAAATCTCCACCTTGACTTGAATCCTCTTCCTTTGAAATCTCTTATGTACTCTGCTCCTTCTCTCTCTCTCTCTCTCTCTCTCTCTCTCTCTCTCTCTCTCTCTCGCCATCAATGCCCCGCAGGGCAGAGTCACCCACTCAAGACATTCAGCAAGTCCAAGCAGTGTTGGAACTTGCCATGTGGAACTGGCTTCGTGAACATATCAGCAGGATTATCCGTGGTGCCAACCTTCTTCACCTTAATCCTCTTCTCTGTCCTCAAGAAATGATACCTCACGTCGATGTGCTTAGTCCTCTCATGGTGGACTTGATCCTTGGCCAAGCATATTGCACTCAAACTGTCGCAATACACCACTGCCTGATCATGATGTAGACCTAGATCACCAACCAGTCCCTTTAACCATATTCTTCCTTAGCAGCTTCTGTCAACGCCATATACTCTGCCTCAGTAGTAGACAATGTCACCGCTGACTGCAAAGTTGCCTTCCAGCTCACTACAGAACTCCCAATAGTGAATACATAACCGGTCATCGATCTCCTCGTGTCAACATCTCCAGCATAGTCCGAGTCAGAATACTCAGACACCAAGCACTCTGTATCACTTCCGAAGCTAATCCCCACATCAGGTGTACCCTTAAGGTACCGGAAGATCCTCTTCACAGCCTGCCAATGCTCCTTCCCAGGTTGTATCATAAACCTGCTGACAACACTAACAGCATGTGCAAGATCAGGTCTAGTGCATACCATAGCGTACATCAAGCTACCTACTACACTAGCATATGGGACTCTCGACATGTACTCCTTCTCAGCCTCCGATTGCGGTGCATAAGCTGAGGATAGATGAACATTTGAAGCACTAGGAGTATTTAAGGGCTTTGCTGAAGACATGCCAAACCTCGACAGTATCTTCTGGATGTAGCTCTTCTGTGACAAGAAAAGCTTCTTCTTCGACCTATCCCTGTAAATCTCCATACCCAAGATCTTCTGAGCAGCTCCCAAATCCTTCATCTCAAACTCAGCACTAAGAAGCCCCTTTAACTTCTGGATATCATACTTCGACCTCGCAACTATGAGCATATCATCCACATACAGAACAAGTTAGATTATCGAACCATCCTCCACCTTGTTGTGATACACACAACAATCATATGGACTTCTGTTGTAGCCCAGCTCAAGCCTATAACTGTCAAATCTCTTGCACCACTACCTCGGAGACTGCTTAAGTCCATACAAGGACTTCTTCAGCTTACAAACATAGTCTTCTTTTCCCGGAACCTCGAATCCTTATGGCTGAGTCATGTAAATTTCCTCCTCCAACTCTCCATGTAGGAAAGCTGTCTTCACGTCTAGCTACTCGAGCTCCAAGTCATAATGTGCCACTATTGCTAGTAGCACTCTGATCGAAGTTTGTCTGACCACCGGTGAGAAAATCTCATTGTAGTCAACTCCTTCCCTCTGCGAGAAGCCTCGTGCAACCACCCGAGCTTTAAATTTCATGCCCTTTTTAGAAGTGATTCCTTCCTTCTTCTTGTAGATCCACTTGTTTGTAACAATCTTCCTTCCCTGTGGTCGTTTGACTAGCTCCCAAGTCTGATTCCTGTCATGGGATTCCATCTCATCTCCCATTGCGGCAAGCCACTAATTAGCTTCGCCACCCGAAACGGCTTCTCTATAGGATTGTGGCTCACCTGCATCCACTTCTTCAGCAACCTAAAATGAATACGCCACCATGTCCTCGAAACCATACCTCTCTGGAGGTACTCCTGCGGTCGCTCTCTTTGGTCTACCGGAAGCTATAGATTGTTGAGCTCCTGCACTGGACTTTGAAGTTTCTGGCTCAGTAGAAACATCCTCATGTTGATCTTCTCCACCTTGGTGCTCAAACTCACTCTCATTGAGAGTTTGCAGCTCCACCTGCTTATCAACATTCCTGCTACCTTCAACAACAGTAACCTTCAACATGGGGTTAAACATAGACTTCTCATTAAATATCACATTTCTACTGAGTATAACTCGATGCTCAGAAAGTGACCAGACTCGAAATCCCTTAACTCCATCTCCGTAACGCACAAATACACCCTTCTTTGCCCTTGGGTTGAGTTTACCCTCATCCACATGATAATAAACAGGACACCCAAAAACTTTCAGTGAGGAGTAATCAGCAGGCTTACCATACCACACCTCATAAGGAGTCTTCAACTCGATACCTGTGTGAGGTCCACGGTTGATCAGGAAGCACGCCATGTTCACTGCTTCTTGCCAGAATCTTCTCTCTAGTCCAGCATTAGAGAGCATGCACTGTGCTCTCTCCAACAATGTCTGGTTCATCCTTTCTGCAACGCCGTTCTGTTGGGGTGTATCTCTCACAGTCCGATGACGGGCAATCCCTTCATTCTTGCAGAATTCGTTGAACTCAGAATTATAGAACTCCAGACCATTGTCGGTTTGCAGCTTCTTGATCTTCTTCCCGGTCTGATTCTCCACCAATGTCTTCCACTGCTTGAACTTCGTAAAAGCCTCACTTTTCTGCTTCATCATGAAAATCCAAGTAAATCTCGAATAATCATCAATAATAGACAGGAAATACCTGCTGCCTCCAATAGATTCAACTCGTGAAGGACCCCAACAGTCGGAGTGGAGGTAATCTAGTATCCCCTTCGTCCGGTGGATACCCTTCTTGGGAAACTTGCTGCAATGTAGCTTCCCAAACACACAATGCTCGCAAAATTCCAAATTATGCATCTTGTGCCCACAAAGAAGATCCCTCTTCGACAGAACTTGCATCCCCCGTTCACTCATATGCCCCAGTCTCATGTGCCAGAGAGTGGTCATATCTTCCTGATGAACCTGAGATGATGCAACTGCAGCAGAACCAGACAATACAGATCCTTGTAATGCATACAAGGTTCCACGCTTCACGCCCTTCAGCACCTTCCTTGAACCTTTGCAGACATACACAACTCCACCTTTTCCTTTGAAACTGAAACCCTTGCTGTCGAGTAGACTCAAGGAGATCAGGTTCTTTGTCATTCGTGGAACATGCCTGACATCATTCACGGTACAGAACGAACCATCATTTGCCCAAACCTTTATGGACCCGATTCCAACAACCTTGCAGACAACTCCATTTGCCATGACCACGTTACCACCATCTATCTGCTTGTAGGTTGTGAAGCAATCCCTGTTCGGAGACATATGGTATGAGACTGCAGTATCCAGAAACCACACATCCCCACGATGTGCCTTCTCATCTACAGCCAAGGCGAGATCGTCTTCAGAACTGTTGTCCACTTCTGCCACGACAACTGAACCTTGTTTCTTTTGTTGCCCTCTTCTCTTGGGACAGTTGTACTTCCAATGCCCCACTTCCTTATAGTTGTGACAAGCATCACCTGGCTGTGGACCGGGACCCTTGGAATTTTTGTTCGAATTCCCTTTACCAGATTTCTTCTTTCCCTTTCCACCTGTAACAGCCAAACCCGATGACTCATCACCTGTACCAGATCCGGACGCCTTATGTCTGATCTCTCTCGTATGAAGAGCAGACCTGACATCTTCCAACGACACGCTTTCTTTACCGGCAATAAAAGAGTCAACGAAATTCTCATACGAACTCGACAAAGAAACCAGCAAGATTAGGGCAGCATCCTCGTCATCAACTTGAACATCTATATTACGCAGATCCAGCAAAATAGAGTTAAGCTTTTCGAGATGTTCCCTCAAAGGCGTACCTGCTTGCATCCTCAAGCTGAACAATCGTTGCTTGAGATGCAGCTTGTTGGTTAAGGACTTCGTCATATACAGACTCTCCAACTTTAACCACAAGCCCGTGGCAGTCTTCTCTGCAGCGACTTCAATGATGACATCATCAGACAACGATAGCATGATGGTCGAGTGAGCCTTCTCCTCCAGGGTATTCCACTCATCGTCATCGACCGCTGCCTTCTTATGTTTCGTAGACAGCGGCCCCCACAGCCCTTGCTGTTTTAATAAAGCCTGCATCTTGATCTGCCATATAGCGAAGTTGTTCTTCCCCGTGAACTTTTCGATCTTCATGTTCACCGACGTCATTCTTCTGAATCGAAAAAACCCTAGCCTGATTTCCAGCCGCGGCTCTGATACCACTTGTTATATATATACGCGCTACTACGGATCGGGAAATCGCCAGAATCGATTAAGCAAGAATACAAAAGCGAGAATCATAAAACACAGACACACGATTTACGTGGTTCACTAACACGATGTGTGTTAGCTACGTCCACGGGCGAGAGAGAGCCAGTTTCACTATATCGAGGAGATTACAGATTACAGCGAGACCCCCGATTACCAGTCGTAGCGGCTGATAGTCCGATTCAAGTCACATCAACATAGTTATATACTAGAATTCATCTTCCTTAAACAATGTTAGGTGCTCAATTCATAGAGAGGGAAAGGACATACAAACTAGATAGGAGAATCTTGAAATCATCTTTTGCTCTTGTTTTGAACCCTTCTCCTTGATTATTGGATGAAGTCCTCATTCCTTAGCTCTTCCAAGGCGTTTCTTTCACTAGAATCTGCCCAAAATCCTAATTTCTCACTCTAGGTTGGCTCTCATTCGTCAATTGCAACAAATGGGTTTTTATAGAGGTTTCTCGTGCACAACGTGGCCTCTGAGCGTGACACGAGGGGTGGTGGTTGTGACACTTGTCAAACGACACATTTCAGCATGTCACGGTTTATGCCACGGTCGTGACATGTAAAACATCAACGAATTGTCAAAATCTCTGTGTCTTGTCTTCGTTCACGAGCACCGAGATTGCGACCTTGATCTTGAGAAAAATGAAAAAGTTATCAAGACACTTTTGTAATTGAAAAGTTATCGAGTAAGAAAAATGAAAAAGAACACAATTAGACATGTGACATTGCTAAATGACATTTTAACTTAGCAATTTTGATAATTTAGCAAGCATCCTCACATCCTTAGCAGTTGCTAAAAACTTGCCTCAAAAGTTCCATCTCACTTTAGCAATCGCTAAAAATTAGGGATGGAGATGCTCTTTACGAGAGATTGAGATTTTGTCGGCACAACTTTTTTGAATTTGAGATCTCTAACATAACTATAATAATGGTAGAACTAAGAACTAAGAAGTCAAGTTTCATTCAAATTAATCACTAAATTCATTACACTGTAGGGAATTTGTTGTTATAAAGCTATAAAAATATTTAAATGACATATTATTCATTTTAATTTTAAGTTAACTAATAAAAATTAAATTAAATTTATTTAAAAAATCTGCAAGCCACTCTATATCTCCTTAATAAAACGCAACGTTCCCCTTACCCCTTTTGATTTCACTTTTTTTTTATGGACAAAAATAAAAAAATCCCTACCTACTTATACTAAAAAAAATTTATTCATTCCCTTACTCATTTTGATTCACATTTTTCTTCTTTCCCATTTTTTCCCAATCTTACTTACCAATTATAACTGATGGGTGAATTTAGTAGATTTGCGGTAGATTATGTTTCGATTTTGGCTAATTTGGGAGAAGTACAACAAAGTTGCTTATGGTATGATTTTGGACATAATTGGTTTGTTCTTTGGTTTACGTTCTTTGATCCATATTATGGATCGATATTGGTCTAGTGGTTCTGGACTGAACCAAACTTGTACTACAATGAAAGAAATTATATTGCTATGCTAAAAAACTGCGGTAATTAGCACGATGACAACATACATATATAAGTTGAGAGGCGTATCCTTCACCTGATTCACTTGCATTCGGCAGGATTGTTATGTATTGGTATTGCCCAGCAAAACCTTCACCGGAAGTATATTGTTGGCCGGAAAGTTGACTGATTCGAGTCTTCCATTCCACTTGGGGAACCAAATTAAATTTGGTAAAATCCTAGAGAAAAGTGGTCGCCGTGGATAAGAACGGGAAGCATCCAAAGCCGCAGCCGCCCACCCAACCCAACACTCAAAACAGTGGGTGAGGGACCGGACTTGAGCACTCATTCCCAGAGGCAGAGCAGAGCCCCACAGCAGCATTCAGTGCAGTGCAGTGCAGTGGTTTTGAAGAAAGCGACGTTGATATTATTATGATTTGATTTCTCTCCACTCCCTCTCTCTTTTTGGCTGGATCGATGTTTCTACTTTAGCTGCCCTCATTTTCCGCCAAAAATATCGCTTGCATTTGCATACTGTTGCTAAAGCACCAATCCTCTGCTCAAATAACCCCAATGAGCAGCAAACCAATTCCTCTTCTCCGCAGGCCGTTGGATTGTTTGCTGTGCATCCGCAGGCCTTTAGATGAACATAGCATAGCGACAATTAATTTACCCAGTACATCCAACTATAACAGAGCGCAAAACAGGCAACTCAATGACCTAACAGATAGCACCACCACAAAATTTCAACGCTAACCCCTAGCATTTGCATCGACCTGAGTAAACATTAGATTATATCAACTCCAGAGAAGCATCCCCTTTTTGTTTAGACCTGTAATGTAAACCGACCAAGAAAATAATGCGTCTTATTTACAAACAAAATATCGCTTAGTGTACATGCTATAAGATTTTTTTTCTCAGACGAGTAATAATCATGTATACAGATGAATACACGAGTTTGCAATGCCTCAACAGATAAGTGAGGACTCGAAAGGCTGCAACGTAATGTACTCTGACTAAACGAAACACCCCGGCCAACCCACTGACTTGCTAGGCTAAATGAACATGGTGTTCATAACATTATGGCCGCAACACTCACCAGTGAATGTGCGTGTAGCTGGATTCTTCTTCCTTTCTGGCTTGGGCCAAGTATATGTTAAAAAGACTGAGAGCCATAACTCCAGTGCAGTTTGAACAACGAATGTATACAAATTTTAGGGTGGCTTCAGGCTGATCTCTGTACCTGCCCCATCGTCGTGTTGGCATCAATTTTACAAGCTAGGGTCAATGATTTCTAACCCCATTCCATCGCTGTGTTGCCAATCTTAAGTCTGTCATGAACCTGCCGCCGGTGCAGGGAGAGGTAGAGGGAGCGGGAGGAAAGATGCTTGCTGCTGGCCTCGGACAAAAGAAGCTAGCTCCTCTGGAGCAACTACCAATTTCAGCCACTCTTGCAGCTCTTCTCCTTCTACTTTCTCTTTCTCTGGATATGGTGCGCACCCAGTTAGAGCTCCTTGACTAGTTATAGTAGATCTATTGGGTCAACAAAAGAAAAGGAGTAAGCCAACTACCTTCAAGATGAGCACCAAGTCCTTCCAAGACAGTAGGATTAGCACGAACGACACAGAGTGCCACTTCCATTGCAGCTTGTAGCATTTCCTTCACCTCCCTTTGAACTAGATCAACAAGATGGCCCTGTTTTGTAGTTTACCCCATTAACAGCAGTATACAAGGTTGGTAGGGGCAGATAGAGTTTGACATTGCGTAAATAAGAGCATGCCAAAACAATGATTACCTGTTCCCTTCCCCATGGACTACCTCCAGACTCATCCATCCCACCTCCAGAAAGTGTTCCAACAGATACAGGACCTATGGTCCGACTGAGACCATATTCCGCTATTGCCTTGTACGCCATGTCTGTAGCTCGTCTAATATCATCTAGTGCACCGGTGGACACACGGCCTGAGTACACCACGTCTTCTGCAGCACGCCCTCCAAGAAGGGTGACCAAACGGCCCCGTAACTCGTCGATGAAAAGTAAATATCTGTCCTCAGTTGTTGGTGGTGTATAAGTAAACCCCAATGCACCTCCCGTCCTTGGTAGTATGCTTAGCTTCTGCCAATATGACATCATTAAACTGTTATATATCCTGGCAGGTACACACACTCATCCCACATGACAAACGGAACCCTTCAGCAAGTTCCTTTTGGCTTAAGAAATGATGATGATCTTTACCTCCACACGTGGTTGTCCAGGGAGGAGGCTAGCAACAGCAGTGCCAACTACTGCATGGCCTGCTTCATGGCGTGCAACGACAGCCCTCTCACTTCCTTGCAGTTTGGCCGTCTTCTTCTCTATGCCCTACAACAACGGGGAGTCAATTTCAATTAACTTTTTCTTCTTACAGGTCATTACCATTCTGCACAATGTCTTCTGCCAAACATGGTACAAGTACAACAATAAGTAGGCATATAAAATCAGACGCATGAAAATCTTCATGAATTCTAGGAGCAACAAATACTCGGAATTCCTCCTACTGGACCTCAATGTACAGATTCAAAGGTTATTCATTTCATGTAAAGACCTTTCACAATCAGCAAGTACAACCAATTAAAAAATGGAAATTTAGCTTCCATTAAATCAACCATAAGCTCCATTGATGCCATTGCCAATTGTCCCTCGAACTCAAAGCATACCCGATGATATTAGACGAGCTAGTGTGTGTGTGTGTGACTGAGAGAGAGAGAGAGAGAGAGAGAGAGAGAGAGAGAGAGAGAGAGAGAGCTTACAGCTAAAGACCGTTCTACGGCTTGAATGAAATCAATTTTCTCTACCAAGGTTTTGCTTTTCCTTCCAGCCAATAGAGCAGCTTCATTTACAAGATTTGCAAGATCAGCCCTGCATGACGTGGAAACTAGAAGGTTACCTCCACATCCAGCTTATGACAAGACAGCAAATGTACCACAGCATTCACACATACCCAGTAAAGCCAGTGGTCATTGAAGCGATACCACTAAGGTCGACATCCTTTCCTAAAGGAAGCTCCTTCTTGAAGGCATGCACTTTCAAAATGGCCTCTCTTCCTTTCCTGTCAGGGGCTTCCACCTGAGATCAAATTGCAAAAATTACTCAAGACACTCAACTGAGTTGAAACAGCTAATTTCAACTGAGTCTGGAACGAACCGTAACTACACGATCAAATCTTCCGGGTCTCCGAAGAGCAGGATCTAAAACATCAGCGCGATTTGTTGCTCCGAGAACAATTACTGCAGAGTTGCTATCAAATCCATCCATCTCCTGCAACATATGAAAGTGGCTTACAAAATGAAGAACGTGACATTCTAAGACTTCCCATAGATCTTTAAGAAGGAATATGACTGGATGGATGGGGGGACTTACAGTAAGCAACTGGTTCAAAGTTTGCTCCCGCTCATCATTGCTAACAATGCGAAACTTCCCATCACGACTTTTCGCCACCGCATCTATCTGCATTTAAGAGAGTATGAGACTGATGTTCAAAGCCGTCAGCACAGCATCCATATCCAACAAAGACAATCAAGTGCAGCTTACCTCATCAATAAATATAATTGATGGTGCCTCCTTCTTTGCTCGTGCAAACAGGTCTCTTACACGTGAAGCACCCATTCCGACATATAACTCTACAAACTCACTAGCTGAGCAACTAATGAAAGGGACATCAGCTTCCCCGGCAACAGCCTTTGCCAAAAGGGTCTTGCCTGTACCAGGAAGACCAACCTGGAAGACAAACAACCTCATATAAACTAGAAGTAACTTAAGATTTTTAGTAAAGAAGAGGACTAAGTCACAGAGAACAAAGTGCAGGATGGAGCCTATGGTACTGGATACACATACATATGTAACATTAGAGAAAAATAAGGATGCAGCACCAGATGTACAGGACAACACACTAAAAGACCTACCCAAATGGAAGCTTATACAGCAGTTGTTCCACCAAAATACATTAAAAATAAATTTGCATACTCACCAGAAGAACACCCCGAGGAGGACGAGCACCAAGTTTTATGTACCTGTCTGGGTTCCTGAGAAATTCCTGGACAACAAGCATCAGTACATACGACCATTTCCCGGCAAAAAGAATTTAGAGGGTGGTCAAAGGGAAGAGGATGCAAATAGAAATCATAAGCAAAGCAGTAAATATGATACCACTATTTCTTCTAACTCTTCCTTAGCTTCATCAACGCCAGCAACATCAGCAAAAGTGATTGCATCTCCTTGCTCAGCAACTTTTGTACCTCCAGAACTACCAGACTTGCGGTTCCTAATCTGACCAGCCGAATGCTGCATAACAGAAATGTATCTATTTTGTCAGAACCAAGTTACATCCATCAAGTTTGACCTAGTCAAAAGAGTATTGTGATAGTCCACACCTGAGAAAAGCTAACAGGGAATCTATGGAGAAGTCCAGCAAGCACAGCCACATAGAACAAAGCAATCTGCCATAGAAAGGGAAAAACAAACTTGTAAGACTCCACATTTGGAAAGCAGTCCCAAGCGAATTGATGCAAATAACAGCGAAATCGACACACTGAGTGTAGAAAGAAGCATGTGTTCACGCAATAAAAATCTTCATTTCCCTAGTTTAATTTCCATGCTTCCTGGTTAGGGAAATATGACTTGCAGAAGCCTCAAAGAGGGACATTGGCAGTTCACGGTAGGCTGCCAAAATGCAAAGGAGCAATCCCTCAACACCCTCTACGTAAGATAAGGGCAAAGCATTCAGAAACTAAAGAACATTACTGGCATCCTGACCACATTGGTGTATGAGGGCTGTGATCTTTGAGAGCGTAGCATTGCTGTTTATACAAAAAACGCAAATTTGTAATTACCATCGGATTCTTTTTCCGTCGGTAAAACTGAAACGAACCTATGTTTCAGCATGAAGAACAGCCGCACATGCAATTACTTGCATTGCAAAGCATGACCACGTGAACAAATTTCAGCAAGCAATCCCGTTAAAGGATTATATTTGATAGTCACTTATTAAGCAGTACTACCCCGTGGTTTTTCTAAAAAATAAAAGCTTGTCACAACTCACAGCCACAACCAAGCACTTACTCACCAAAGCTGAGTTGAAAAATCCACCAGACCTCTTATCAGGCGATCCAAACTCCACCTGGTTTTCAAGCATCTTCTCGTATGGAGTCTTGATATCACTGGGTCTAGTAGTCGTGTACACAATCCTCCTTGTGGTTGGCGCGACGCTCCTTAACAATTGCTCCGACTCCTGCCACCTACCATCAACCACTTCAGCTGTCTCCTGATTTCCGGCCGCCTCGTTTTTCAGTTTGAACATGATGTGGACGCCATCAACCTCCACTTTCTGCACCTTGTTGCTATTAATCTTGCTCACAAAATCACTGTACGGTACATTAACGAACGTCGTCGGCGGTCTTGGGTCCGACCCTGGCAGCGGAATCCCAGGCCGCAGCAACCGCATAACAAACATTACAATCCCTAATTGCAAAAGCAAGACCCCGACCTCCTGAGCTTGAATTAAAGGCTGCCATTTCCAATTCTGCCGCTTCGACCACCACCACCACTCACCTTTCCCTTGCTTCTCCCTCTTCTGCTTTGGACCCGTGTTGGGCGTGTTCGTGCTGCTAACCTGCTGCCCTTCGGTCTCCGCCCTTGGCTCGCTCGAGCTCGTCGTCGTCGAATCCCCGTCCTGACATTTCGCCAATATTCTGTGCTCTCTCAACCTGCAACTCCTCCAAACCCCACTTCCCCATAGATTATTAGAACCTCGCAGAGCTCCGCAGGGCAGACGAGATTCATTGAGCACGTTCACGGGACGAGGGAACCGCAGCGGATCCCGGTGAGGAACCCTAGAATGGGCGCGGAACGGGAAAGAGCCGCGGCAGTGAGAAGGAGGAGGATAACGATATTTACAATCGGAGTCGGCGTGGAACCACCTGGAGTGCGAAACCGGCCTCAGGGTCTCAATCATCGACGACATGGTGTTAATTGAAACCCTAACATAACCAGAGAGAAACCAAATTGGGGAAGGAGAGGAGCAGACTCGCAAATCGGAAGCGGAAGCGGATTAGCGCTTGGGCGGGGCTAATAAAAGAACGGTAAACGACGGTCGGTCTGTTTTCTGTGGATGGGAGAAAATTTTAGAAGGGAAGGTGACCGGAAGCGGAGGAAGAGAGGAGAGAGATTTTTTTTTTTTTTTTTTTTTTGAAGAGGGAGAGAGAGATAATCTCCGTTGGATGGAGAAGAAGGGACGGTCGACGTAAGATCCAATGATCCTCAACTCTCTGTTTCGCGATGCAGGGGAAAATTCCTCTTCCTCGATGTCGTTGTTGTTCGTTATCTGCTGCAACTGCGAATGGAAGAAGAGGAAATCATAGCGTGCGGGAGAGCACACACCAAGAGAACACGTGGGAACAAGAGATGGAGGACCACACAGGTGGAGGGATTTTCCGGACTGAATTGGGCCGGGTTTTTGGGGTGGGAGAGGTTTGTAGGAAGTCTAGGGCCCGATCTAGTAGGGTGCTAATTATGCCTAAATGGATAAGGATTTGATTGGCCAATCAGGAGTGCCTTTACTAGTTAATAAGGGAATCAAGTTGGAATTTACATCACTTGAACGACAGCAATCTTGTAAGGGGATTTGAGTCAAAGTATCTTCTATTTCCAAATGATATTCTGGTTAGTTTTTGTTTTTTCCCTTTCTTTTCCTTTGCTTAATTTAGTTTTATTAGCCAACAATAAAACCGTAATAGATTGATTAAATAGTACTTCGAAGTATATTGGTAACGGTAGTCTAACGGTAGGCTGCCGCTACAATGAAGTTTTGGCAGTTGCAGATTTTATGTTCGAATTCAAGCGAGGATCGTTGGTGTTTCTGGAGCTATAAAGCTGTTGTGGGCGAAGCCCCCCGTTGGCGTCGAATTGAACACAAGAAGTCTATTACTAGTAGGGGCGAACCCATCTGTGGGAGACACATGTTTTGATGATAAAAAGAAATTCGAATATGATACCTTTGACTTTTCGACACAGTTCTGAGTGCAAAATCGATGATGTCGTGCTTAGAAGGAGTTCAAATTGGACTAGGAGACTCCTGGAAACATCTAAAAGCTTCCCGTTGACTTTCAGGCGAATCCAAGTATGGGAAGTACGGGTATGGCTGAAAAACTCATTATTTGTAAACAGTTTTCTCTCCGACTGCTAATATAAATAGAGGCTTAGGCTATAGTTTGAGACACTCTCATATAAAAATTAGTCAAAGTTCTGTCGGTGCAAGACGGGGATACCTTCATCATCACCAGGGATGTCTTCTCCATCTTCTATAGCTTGATAAGTCTGTATTGTTTAGGGGATGTGAATTCTTTTTTTTTTTTATACGTAAAGGGGATGTGAATTCTATGATGCTCCATGCATCACTTTCTATGATTTAATGAGATGTTTTAGTCATAGATGCCTTAATCATTCTATGGTTATATCATCTATTATGTGCTACTATGGACTATGGTCAGTGATGTAGACAGAAGTTCACTTAATATGGGTCCAATTTAAAAATATAATCATTCTATGCTTATATAAAATATATATTTTTAATATTTAAATGACTTATGTTGGGTTTTCATTATTTTTCGACGGATTTTCGTTTGAGGGTTGACAGTTGGATACTATATTAGGAATTAATAAATCCAGAATAATCAACTAGAGATGCATTTTTAAGTAAAATCTAGAGTTATTTATATAATATTGAAGGTTAATATGTGTCATAAATCTCTCTACAGCTTATTGGCAGACAAACAAAACCGTGAACATGAAGAATTAAGGTTGTGAATTATGAATTGTGTATAAGTATTATTTCAATACTAATTTAGAGCCACCTATTACTAGGTGGCCGCTGAGTAAATTGTACACTGAAGAGCACGCTGCGCGGAGCATGCCACAATCTAACAAACCCCAAGCTCAGCGACTGCATCCTTTTCTCTTATTCATAAATTCTAATGGGGAAACAACTACTCCTCGCCCTCTTGTTGACTCCAAAATCAACACAAATTTTGAGGTTCATCGCATTCATCCTAGTCGCTCCACCCCCCGTTCACCGGTGATCGGGATTCTGGTGAGTAAACGATGGGGCATTGGTGAGTCTGTCGTCTTCTTCTGGTTGCTTGGGGCGGTGGCAACAAACAATAAGTTTGTGACTTACGTTCATTAGTGGAACATCATTTGGGTATTAGCTCTAATAATACATTAATTAAGAGTAAATATTACAATTAGACATTGCCCCATGTGTATTTAGGCCATTCATTAGCTATTCATGGTAATTCTATTTTCCTGTATGGAGCTTTATAATGCTCCATTATATTCTCAACAATTATTCTTCATTCATTATTTTTCTTATTGATGTCCATATGTTCGACCGAACGGTTACGTACAAAGGGTTCAACCGTAGATAGATTAGAGATAATAACTATTATTGTTATTATCATAATCACACCACGTTAACAACTAAAGAAGGAAAAAAAAAATAAAAAAAAAGACCCCCGCCCCCGCCCCCACCCCCACACTCGGCCTCAACTCCCTCCTATATATATATATATAGGCAGTTCTACGGTGCCCAGGGCAAAATCTGGGGTACGGGTAACCGGGGGCAAGGAAAATTACCAAAAGCATCACGAAGCGTTTATGCTTTATTAATTGGACTTCAACCTAACTGTACCCGGTTTAATGATATCGATTAAGAGGTTAAACCCTATGGATACGACCCGCCGCCCTAACCAATTTCCAGTCTCCCTTCTACGATCCCTCATTCGCCTTGGAGGGTCCCCTCTAAGTTCGAAGTTCGATCATAAGCTGCCTATCAAATCTGAAATCTCCAACAAAATCATTGTTTCGAAACCCAAATCCTTTTATTATTTGATCCACATTCGATTTAGCTCCCTATCCAATCTCAAATCCCCAACATCATCATGTTTCATACGCCAAATCTATGTATCCACATTCGAAGAGAAGATCCCCATCCAATATGAAATCCTCACATAATCATCGTTTTGAACCCCAAATCCTTTTATCAACAAATCGACGTTTTGTTCATCGCCATTTTATTTCCGTGCGGAATTTACTCGCCTATCTCTTTCTAACACGATTACGGCGACCATGTCTATTATTGTGTTCATCAAACTTTTCGTTTGCAAAAGAACCCTTGAAAGATGTTTGCTAACCCTAGGGTTCATGTCGCTAGTGCTTTGTCATCTTGTCTTAGCGTTATTGTCATTTTCTCGAAACTTCTATCACTCGGTGAAATTAAGGTTTCCTGATATGCAGTATTCGTCTCGCCCAGAGGATTGAGGAAGGAGATGAAGAAGACCTAATTTGATTCGAATCAGATGGAGAGGTCTCCTTAATTTGTGTTTATGTATTAACGGTGCGTTTAGGACTAATTCTAGTTGGACTGGGTCTGATCATTGATTTTTGCAGGCTTTTAAATAACATTCAAACGTGGGCTTGTACATGGACCCATGACACCTAGTTTGTTGATAATAGATACTGAGTTCCGGATTGTCATTAGGTTGGGCCTTTGATAATTGTCTATCTCAGTGGCGATTCTTTGTTTTACTTATTTTCATCTGCTTCTGCTTCTAAAATCCTGATCATTCATTGAGTTCACGCAATTTAAACATAATTCTGTGTTCCATCTTTTTTGGGATTTGGTAAATGCTAGCGTGTCTCTTTACACATTTAGCGGTACGAGGTAAACTACAATCCGCCCAATTTAACTCTTCATTAATTGAGATCCCATTCCACTCTCTCACCGATTTCCCCTCTTTATGCAATGCACTCGTACATAACAAACCTCTTGTAGACTAATTAGAGGCTTGTGGTTGGATACTGAGTGAGGATATTTTTTTAATTTATGTTTTGAAACGAAAGTTAGAATTTCACTTTTGAAGTACCTATGTACTTTAGTTGGGCAAGTATTTTCAAAATGTAAAATTTTATCAGCGTATAGGTATACGATTGGTGTATAAGGTGTTGATGTTAAAGGAAATGGTTACTGACTGCTTAGGGTATTAGGTTGTTGATGGTATAGAATATATGGTATATGGGTAGGTTATAAGGTGTTGATGGTTTAGAGCATATGGTATCGATTGGTTAAAGGGTGAGGGTAGGTGTTGTCTTATTTTTTCTCGATTTTATATTTTCTTTATATCTGCTTATAAATGCTAATCATGCCTTATTACTAAAAAAACGTAGACATAATTATTGTAGCGTGACACATTTATCAGTACTTAGACATAATTCTTTATATCTGCTTATAAATGCTGATCATTTATTGTTTGATTTGAACCTGCATGTGTTTTGCTCCGAATGATTTTGTAGTGGCGTGGTAAAGACAATCCGTCCAATTTAACTCTTCATTAATTCCCCCTTTTCTTTTTTTTTGGGTAGAATAATTACCCCTTTTCCACTCTCTCAGTCCCCGCCGAAGTTGAAACAATCCCCTGTGATATATTTATCGTTCATTTTAACCCTTCACTTAATAAGAAAGCGAAATTATGCAAAATGGTCATCAATGTGATGTAGCTTAGTTGGTTAATTGTCCGTTATTTGCTTAGTCAATAAAGTAGAGGTTTGTGGTTCGATACTTAGTGAGTATCAATTTTTAATTTATGTTTTGAAAAGCAAGTTATAATTTTAATTTATCAGCGTATAGGTATACGATATTGTATAAGGTGTTGATGGTTTAGAGTACATGGTATTGGGTTAGTGTATTGATCATCTCCATCCCTAAAATACGATATTGTATAAGGTGTTGATGGTTTAGAGTATATGGTATTGGGTTAGTGTATTGATCATCTTCATCCCTAAAATTGAACAACAATTTCTAAACGAGGTCCCTACCGCCACATCATCAATTTTAGCAATTCATCACTTATCAATTTCTATTCATCTACATCCCTAAATTATGCTAGCAATTGCCAAGGTGGGTTCCATTTTATATTTCAAAGGAAACACTTATTATACATTGAAAGTTGGGGATGGAGATAGAAGAAGGTGTTGTTGGTATACAGTATAAGGTCTTGAAGGTTATGGTATAAGGGAGGAGCAAGGTGTTGATGGTTTAAAGTATATATGTTATTGATTGGTTACGGTATAAGCCTATAAGGTGTTGTTATTGTTGTAGAGTATATGGTATTGATTGGTTCGTGTATTAGGGTTTGGTTTAGGGTTTAGGGTTTAGGATTCAAGCTAGAATAACATAAACCAGATCAATAGAGTAATGTTGGTAAACGAAAAAGTTGGTTAATCTACAAATTCAGACTATTTATAAAAGCACATCCCCATTTCCCACCGTCAATTCCTAAACTTTTCCCTTAATCCGATGGCGAAATACCTTCGATCCTTGTCACGTGCGTGTCACCCAATCAGATATTGCCGAATTCGGAAAGTCGCTTTTGCCCATAACCAATGCTGGCGTTACCAAGGCCGAGGCAGTGGTAGGGAGTGTAATTTTCAGTAAATGTGAAGGGAGGGAAAGTAAAAGTAATTACGAGTCAATCTTTAAATTCGTTAATGAGTGAAGGAGAGACCGTGCTCCGAAACCCGAGTGGCACTCATCTCCTGCTGCTGTTCGTTCCTCCTCCTCTCAATCCCTGAAAAGAACCCTTTCTTCCATCTTCTCAATATGAAACTCCGAAAATCAACCCCATCCGCCTCTTCGTCCTCCTATCCCATGCTTTATTTTCGGGTGCAGTGGTACAACTAAATCCTTCGTTGTATTGTTTCTCCTTTTCTCTCCATGCAGGGTCTTTGTTAGAGGCAGCCAGGCAGGGAGGGGAGCAATGACAATAAGTCGCCGTCTGAATATCGCCGAAAGAATCATCACATGTTGTTACGATTCCATAATAGGTGTTGTGGAACCCTACTTCATGTGGTGGTTCTTTTGTGCGATATTGACGCGTACTTGTTGATCATGCTCCGAAAATCAACCCCATCTGCCTCTTCGTCCTCCTATCCCATGCTTTATTTTCGGGTGCAGTGGTAATGATGAGACTGCGTATTATTTTAGATCTCATTTCCTTTCATTATGTCATTGTTAGATCATGACTGTTAAACTAAATCCTTCGTTGTATTGTTTCTCCTTTTCTCTCCATGCAGGGTCTTTGTTAGAGGCAGGGAGGGGAGCAATGACAATAAGTCGCCGTCTGAATATCGCCGAAAGAATCATCACATGTTGTTATGATTCCATAATAGGTGTTGTGGAACCCTACTTCATGTGGTGATTCTTTTGGGCGACATTGACGCGTACTTGTTGATCATGCTCCCAAAATGTATACAAGATGGGAAAGTTGCCATATGTATAATAGGATAAAATAGGGAGGGAAAGTACAGCTTTTTGTTTTTGTTGGACTATATGTAACATTTGTTTATATTTGTATACTGTTTTGTTATTTTTTCTTCTGCTTCTCTCTTCGCTTCCATGGCGGCTTCCAAAAGTGTTTGAGATCTTCTAAGTCTGCGAGGGATCCTCCACTCCCAATAAAAATACTGTACTTTGTACTATTAGCGTTTGAGATCTTCTAAATCTGCAGGGGATCCTACACTCCCAATAAAAATATTGTACTTTGTACTATTAGCGTTTGAGATCTTCTAAATCTGCAGGGATCCTACACTCCCAATAAAAATACTGTACTTTATTTGTTGACTACTGACTCCATTTTTAGAAGTCTTTACGATTGGGCCAACCGGATTTTTTGCCGGATTTCGAACTCTGCTCCTCTGTCGCCACATGCTCTACCCATTTAATGAGTGCTCAAAATTAGTGCAAAAAATACGATATAATAATTGAATAAAAAAACTAGAGTGCTTAAAAATTGCCTTCAACTGACCATTAATGAGTACATAAATTAAACGACACCGCAAGAGCCAACAGTCTTCTTATATACCAAACGACTCGGCATAGGAGGACTTCCAGTTTCAGTTCAAGTTTCCAACACCGAGCAAATATATGGTCCCAATTGCCACTTCAGCAACTTTAACTATACATCAATTGTGACCGTGGGTCCTACTTAATTTTCAATGCAATTCAATATTAATTGGTGAGTGTGTTATATTAATTTGAGTTTTCTCTCAAGTTGTTTTTTGTTGTTGTGTTATTCGAATTATGTAAAGTATTATGATTGGAATTGTATATATGTGTGTGCTGCATGAAAATTTGCAACTGCATGAGAAAAATTCATCAGATGCAAATTTGCAACTTTTGTAATTGATCCCACATCAATGCAACTCACCATCCCACTTTCACTCCCTTGCCACATCAGGTTGCAATTCTCAAGAATTGCACCATTGGAGATGGTCTAAATAAGCAAGGTGTTGATGGTTTAGAGTATATATGGTATTGATTGGTTAGGGTATAAGCCTATAAGGTGTTGTTATTGTTGTAGAGTATATGGTATTGATTGGTTCGTGTATTATGGTTTGGTTTAGGGTTTAGGGTTTGGTTTAGGGTTTAGGGTTATGATTCAAGTTAGAATAACATAAACCAAATCAATAGAGTAATGTTGGTAAACGAAAAAGTTGGTTAATCTACAAATAAGCAATGGGATGGATTGGTTCGGGTATAAGCCTATAAGGTGTTATTGTTGTAGAGTATATGGTATTGATTGGTTCGGGTTTAGGGTTCAGGGTTTAGGGTTTAGGGTTACAATTACATGTACCAAATCAGTAGATTAAATTTGGTTTGGTGAATGGTTTTAATATTTGGTTTTTGGTTTGGTTTTTGGTTTGGTGAATGCTTTGTATATTTGGTTTTTGGTATTGTGAATGCTTGCTATATTTGGTTTTTGGTATTGTGAATGCTTTCTATATTTGGTTTGGTTTGGTTTGTTTTTTCGTGGAAATGGCAAAGGGACTTCACCAAAATTCCAGCTTCCAACTTGTGAGTGAGGTTGCTTCTGTTCAAGGCTTCAAGCCATTGTATCTTGTAGAGAGGTTTAATTGGGATCATGTATAGTTAAACTGATTGGCTCCCAATCGTATAATTAAATTTGCATTCATGTATAGGTAACCCAAAAGGTAAAACTGATTGGCTCCCAATCGTATAATTAAATTTGCATTCATGTATAGGTAACCCAAAAGGTAAAACTGATTGGCTCACAATCAGTATAAATAATGACCAAACCCAGTACAAGGCAGATAGAAAATTCTTATGTAATTAATTTAATGTTCCTAGGATATGGAAAGGCTTCCATGTAAAGGATTGAAAGTAGTGATTTACATTGATGAGCCAACTCTTGAACAGATTGAAGCTACAAAGTAGGAGCCACTAACCCACTAACTAAAACTTATAACGTTACTAACTAATAATAATAAAATTAATTATTTACAGAATTTGAATTTATGCACAGCCCTTATCATTCCATTCCTTGAATTTCCACCAACGATGTTTTCACTCCCCTTTTAGTCAGAGAATTCATTGTAGTAATAAATACAATAAAAAGGCATACATAATTAATGGATTCTTTATTGTGTATAATTAAAAGGATATTTTACTATAAACGAAGCATGATAGATCCACAGGGGGATAAAAGAAGCATGAGTCTTGATGAAAAAGGGGAAAAAAATCACCATAGATAAAAAATCATTATAATCAACCTAATTGGAACTGCTTAGAACAAAAGCGGATTAAAATCTCCCCCAATGAAATTCATTTGCAATTTCATAGGTTGCAATTTCATAGGTAGTCCCTACTTCCACTTCTATAATTTTGAGAAAACATTGCAATTTCATCAATAGTCCCCACTCGTGGGCCAATTTCAATTGCAACCAAATTTGCACCCTTGCAATAGCTTCTCACATCATAGCAAGTGTAGGATGCAATTGCACCTCCTTGCTTAGGGATGACCATTACTGCATCTCGTCACCTGTCTTAGGGAAATTAGCCATGGCAAATTCACAAAATACTGCATGCATAGAAAAATATTTGTCTGGATAATTAAAAAAATGGGAGACTTTCCTAGTCAGATGATGTACTGGCTCCCCTCAGTACCTGACAGTTTTGAGTGCTGGAGAAAAAGACTGAAAAAAAAAACAACGAAGCCTTACAGTAAACTTCTTAACAAAACACATCCAATGCTGGCCCCTTCACTGCTCCACCCCGCCCTGCATCAATCGACTATCATGTAAGCCGAAGACGTTTGCTTGAGGATGCCTCAGGGGTCTCTTCATGCTCCGTATGCCGAAGGTCATAAAAAGTATTGGTCACTTCGACGATACGGTAGACTGGCAAATAGGCGAAATGGTCCTCCCTAGCATAAACCCCCATATCCATCCCAACCCTTCCCAGAAACGTGGTCAAGAAGGTGGCATATGGAAAGGAAGTGTACCAGTTTTCCCCTCTAGGAGCAGCCTCAACCATGTTCACGCACATGAGAGATGCGAGGTTAAGAGGAACACCTCTTTGAGCTTGCACAAGGATAAACAGGTCAAGTTTACGAATTATCGAATGACCACTGTACCTTGGCATGAAGCAGTTGACGATCATCCAATGGAGGAATCGAAGAGGATCTGGGAGGAAAGAAGCCTGGATGCGCCCATTCGTCAGTCTCGCCAGTTCAACTTCGAACTCAAAATCGTACAGCCGAAGATCGCTTCTGCTATCAATGTGGTGTCCTGCGGCGGGGAGATCGAGGATCTCAGCAAACTGATGAGGCTGGAAGCAGGCTCTATAACCTAGGAAGACCGACACGAGATGAGAATCGGAGGGACCAGACAGCTCTAAATTGTGGTAGAACTTCCTCACCACATGCGGGCAGTAACTGGTGCTTCCTCGACTCCGGAGATCAAAGAACTTTTCCCAGCCAAGATTTTTAATTAACTGCTTCACTTCTTGAGGGAAAGGGGACAGGTGGATGAACTCGTACTCGGCCACAATAGATGTCTTGCTCGTGAATGAAAGATAGTCCGCGAGACTTGGGGTGGATCGGCAGTCGTCGTTTGATAGAGTTAGTATGCCCATATCCGCAAACGATTTGCCTTTGTTTGCCATGGAGTCAGAGGAAGAAGGAACAAGGGAAGGTGAAGATGGAGGAAAGAGAGATTGTAGGTGTAAGAAAAAGTGATCGTGGGGGTTGAGTGTGTAGACGTGTGATGGAGACGGTTGAGTCTGGAATGTCAAGAGTTAGAAGATTTGGGAAGATATGTAGTAATGATGATGTTAACTCGTGTAGGTTAAACTAGGGTAACTAAAGCTAGTTAAACTAGGGTTGGCGCTGATACCGCAGGAGAAAACTAATGGGCTCGCACGTTCCAGGCCCACTTTTGAATATTGCATGGGTCATGTACAAGCCCACGTTTGAATGTTATTTAAAAGCCTGCAAAAATCAATGATCAGACCCAGTCCAACTAGAATTAGTCCTAAACGCACCGTTAATACATAAACACAAACTAAGGAGACCTCTCCATCCGATTCGAATCAAATTATGTGTTCTTCATCTTCTTCCTCAATCCTCTGGGCAAGACGAACACTACATATCAGGAAACCTAAATTCACCGAGAGATATAAGGCTCGAGAAAATCACAATAACGCTAAGACAAGATGACAAAGCACTAGGGACATGAACCCTAGGGTTAGCAAACCTCTTTCAAGGGTTCTTTTGCAAATTAAAAGTTCGATGAACACAATAATAGACATGGTCGCCGTAATCGTGTTAGAAAGAGATAGGCGAGGGGAAATACAATGGCGAAGAAGAAACAAGACAAATTTTTTTTGGGATATTCAATCTACGTCGAATGTGGATGGGGAGCTTCTCTTGGAACTGTGAAGGGGCGTCCCTCCAAGACGAGAGAGGGATCGTGTAATTGGTTAGGGAGACTGGAAATTGGTTTGGGCGGCAGTGGGTCTACCCAATTGGGTTTCGGTCTTAATCCATTTAATTTAATCGGGGCAGTTAGTTGGACTAGGATGAAAACAAACTTAACGCGGAGGAGGCTTTTTGTAATTTGTTTAGTTATTTAGTGGCGCAGTTAGGTTTAACAAACGTGAGCCGTGGAGATTGAAAACGAACGGTTAAGATCGGCCAAGGTACCCGTACCCTGCTTTTGCCCTGGGCACCGTAGAAGTCACCATATATATATATATATGCTTCTTCTACCATTGCACAGGAGGGGTGCACAAATAAAAAGGAAAAGAAAGACTGATCCCCCCAGCCACTCGTTCCCAACAGCAGCGGAGCAATGCCTTGTCCCCGACCAGATTCCCATCCGTTCGACGAACACACCCAACAATCCCTCTCGGAGGTCCGATAGATTCGACGGCAGCCCCGCTACCCCGGCATGGTCGGTCTCAACCAAGCTTCCCACCTTTGTACCATCACGTAGTTGAAAATCTCAAGAGCATCCCGGTCTTGACGAAATTGAATTCGGACGTCAAACAAGGGAGAACCGAGCCTCTGAAGTTTGGACGAAAATCTGTCAAGTTCAGGTAGCATGTTTGTTAATTCAATAAGTTTGAGGACTGAGGATGAAATTTTTCAGAAGGGTCGTAGACACTCGTAGTCAACTAGGTTGGCTGGAAAATTTTAGTTTCGATAATTGGTACTTTGAAAACTAACAGAATGTTTGTTTTGGCTATAACTTATTCGTTTGACCTCCAAACGAGCAACCATTGGCGCCTATGGAATCATGGAAGCGAGGATAATATTTTGGGAGCAAGTATGGAAATTTTAGAGCAGAAACATAGTCAGCTTCAATGGATATGAGCTGAGTGTAAAGGGAGTAAAATCTCAGGCCCTCCCTCTTGAAAAAGTGTTGCCCTCAACACTTTGGCCTTTCTTTGCTCAAATCGTACACAGAATTGATCCCAAATGGTCCATTATACACGTTTAATTTACTTGACGAAGAAGCTAACAAAGTTGGGAAGAAGAAGGGCAGAATTTGGCCAAGTCAAAATCCGTGTTCAGGGTACATACTTTGGAGGCATAGTTCTCTCAATTGGCTTGGTGGAAATTTAAGTTTAAGGATTTGTTTTGCAGATAAAGTTTCCATCTTTCCAATGGTATACTTTTTGGATCCAGATGATGTCATTAAGGTTGTTTTCCAAGGCCTCAACGTTGCTACCTCAAAACTGAAAAACTGCCAGAAAATGACTAAGGTAGAAAACTGTTTTGGGAAGCCTACTTTGGAGCTCAATTCAAGGAGTATGGATGGGATTCAAGTCAAAAGGCTTCCACAACATGAAACTAGGTATGTTTGTGAACAAAGGGAAGGAATTGGATGAAGAATTGGATTTCTGGAAGGCCTCGAATGAAAGGCAGTTAGTACGAAAGCTGCCTTTTGAGTGTTTTGCTGGCAGCTTACTTGTGCGTCAAGAAAGGAAGTTTGTGGCCGAGTTTTACACTGTTTTAGAGTTTTTTTTACCTTAATTGTTTTCTAGGTACATTAGGTTTGTATTAGGTTTATTTTCCTTTAAATACCTTCTAGTTTTCGTTGTAAAAACATAAGAGTTGATTAATCGAAAAGAAACCGTTTGGTTTGTTCAAGTTTGCGAACTTGTTTTGGTTTGGTGGATTCCAAACTTGCTGAGCTTGTGTATCGATTGAATAGTCACTTCAATCTTGGTCGAGCAACTACCATTCTATACCAATCGAGCGTTCCCCAGGTGCGGAGTCGTTCTTTTGGTTCCGTTTTATCCAAGTTCGTATTAAGAACGCTTCATTCTTGATTCGAGCTCAATCGATTCTTCGATTGAGTCGTTAGCTGCATGAATTTGATAATATACACTCCCAGTGTCGTATTAAGTGGTATCAGAGCCCGGTTCTACACAAGGGCAAGGAAGAGAAGAAAACCTGTTGTTTCGATATAGCAGAAGTCGAGTTCCAAAACAGGGAAGCCCCTGTTTGTGCTTTACAACTGCTGTTTGTACTTGAAAATCGAGTGAAATTCAGTTCTACGGAAAGGTGATGGTGGAGAGCAATTTCAAGGCCCAACAACCTCGATTTTGTAGCAAAGGAAAGCCTCCAGCAGTCGTCCTCAAGCATAGAGAGTCCGACGAATAGCGAGAAAATTTGTTTCACAGTCTATGCTTGGTAAGGGAAATTATTATACCTCGTGATCAATGGAGGATCCTGTGCAAACGTCATCATCCTAAACGCGGTCCAGAAGCTTGGATTAACGACGCAAAGGCATCCATAGCCTTATCAATTCAGTTGGATCTATGAGCACAGAACAATTAACGTAACTAAGCAAGTTGTGGTTCGTTTTCAAATCGGCAACTACGAAGACGAGGTAAATTGTGACGTTGTGAAGATGAATTGTGTTCATATGATGCTGGGAAGACCATGGCAATCTGATCGCGAAGTTTCTCATGATTGTCGAACCAATAAATTCAAATTTCGGCATCATGGCAAGAAGATAGTTCTGAAACCTCTTTCCCCGGATGAAGTTTATAGTGATTTGAAGCAGATGGAGGAAAATAGGAATGAGGGAAAGAGTGTAAGAGCTCAATTATGGGTACAGAGAAATATTGGACTTAATTTCTAGGCTTCGGAAATTTAAATACGGCCGACGGCGGGAAAGGAAGAGGAGCAGATTCGACAAAGTTGGTGATAAATTGCGACTGGGAACATGCCCAGAATTACAATTGGAGGCCTGGAAAATCTCATGGAGTAATGGAATTGGATTGGGGATGCCTCAATTCCAAACCCCCAATTGTGATGAAGAACTTGTGCCAAACTCCAGTCCCACGACCTAAAGAATGCTCCGATCGTTTTCCAGCAAAATTGGTCGTCAATGAGGGTTTGTTGCAAGTCCAGGAAGAGTGCCCAACTTCCCTGCAAGTTTCAAAGTCCGTAGAACAGATCGAAGTTGGAGTTGACGATGTTAAAATTCTGCCGAAGAATGTGTTCGAGCAGCCCACTTTCGATCCAATTTGGGATCAATTCTGTGCACGGTCTGATACCACTTAATACACCCCTGGGGGTGTATGTTATCAAAGTAACGCAGCAAACGACTCAATCGAAGAATCGATTGAGCTCGAATCAAGAACAACACGTTCTTAATACGAAATGAGGATAAAACGGAACCAACGGACAATTCCACACCTGGGGAAAGCTCGTATGGTATAAAAGGGTAGCTGCTCGACCACGATTGAAGAGGATATTCAATCGATAGAAAGCTCAAAAGTTTGGAATCCACCAAACTCAAACAAGTCGCAACTTGCACAAAACCAAAGGGTTTGTTTTTCGATTAATCAAAGTCTTATTTTTTACAACGTGAATTTGAAAGCTATTTAAAGGCAATAAAAACCTAATACAAACCCAATGTAACTAGGAAACAATTAAGGTAAAAAAAACTCTAAAAAGAGTACAAAATTCGGCCACAAACTTCCTTTCTTGAAGCACGAGTAAGCTGCCAGCAAAACAGTCAAAAGGCAGCTTTCGTACTAACTTCGCGCCTTTCGTTCGAGGCCTTCCCGAACTCCAATTCTTCATCCAATTCCTTCCCTTTGTTCACAAACATACCTAGTTTCATTTTTTTGGAATTCTTTTGACTTGAATCCCATCCATGCACCTTGAATTGAGCTCCAAAGTAGGCTTCACATAACAGTTTTCTGCCTTAGCCATTTTTCAGGCAGTTTTCCAGTTTTGAGGTAGCAACTTTGAGGCCTTGGAAAACAACCTTATTGACATCATCTGGCTCCACAAAGCATACCATTGGAAAGATGGACACTTTATATGCAAAACAAACCCTTAAACTTGAATTTCCACCAAGCCAATTGAGAGAACCATGCCTCCAAAGTATGTACCCTGAACACGGATTTTGACTTAGCCAAATTCTGCCCTTCTTCTTCCCAACTTCGTTAGCTTCTTCGTAAAGTAAATTAAACGTGTATAATGGACCATTTGGAATCATATGAGTGCCATTGCTGAGTTTGGGTATGCAACCGGACGGCAGAGACGTAACACGGTTGGCATACTAGGGTTGGGACACCGGATGGCGATACGTAACGCGATGGTCCCTAGTAGTTAAATGTATGAGTTAAGGATAGAAGTAGAGAACTTCTATAAGATCAGGTTAGGAGTAGCCAAATTCTGCCTGACACGCTAAAACACAACACCAAACTACGACCAAGTGTAATCGCAGTCCGGAAATGCAGTAACAGGCAAGCTCTATTTGTTAACCCGGGGTCTAGATCTACTGCCTACTCCGTGAATATCAATTATCTAGCAAACTAAGTCGAGTGATTTTGATTTTAACTAAAAGCAGTAAGAAAGAAGGAAATGGTTCAAAGTTCTTTAGCAAGGGAAGAGTCACTCGGGAATGAGTCCCCCTAGCTCCTTAGTTAGGTCGAGGTTGTAATTACCCTGGGTTGATTAACTGTTGATTAAACTACGGAAGATCTGACAGTAGCTTGGAATCTCTTAAGCTGACCAAGCCCTCTCAGTCCAATTACCCGACAGACGACTAGTCTTCACCGGGATAGAAAGCTGAGGCTATGAACGCAGAACTCCACTACTAGAATTGGATTCCAGTACAAAGCAGTAAATCGATTAACTCTCGTATAATCAATCTACCACTACCGATTGATGAAGCTCTAACAACCTAATCAGATTCTATCTATCTCAGGTTGCAGCAGAAATCAAGAAAAGATGATCAGACTTCAATTGACTCAATGAATCATGCATCAATCGATTAAAATCAAACAGTATAACAATCCCAAGTCATTACAATCAAGATCCCTAACACATGGAACTGTGGTTCTTCATACCCAAGTGAGAGAAAGTTCTACTCCATAGAGAGAGAGAGGAAAACAGAAAACAGAGTAGTCATACTCATAAAGATGAGGAAAATCTGCTCTGGGATGATGATCTTCACTCCTATGATGATCTTGGAGCTCGATTGATGAAACCCAGCTCCAAAATCACTTCTAGGATGTGTTCTTCACACTTTCTCTCTATAGGGATCTGTTTCTTGCTCAAAAACTTGATTCCCCTTTCAAAAGTCTCTAACTTGGGTTAAACCCCAGTTTTTCACGATCACACGGCCAGGCCACACGGCCATGTGGAATCCCAGTTTGCCCGTGTGGATGTCAAAACACGGTGTTTCACTTAATGGGTCTTCAGGCATGCTGCACGGCCAGAGACACACGGCCTTGTGGATTTCCAAGCTGGCCTTGTCAGCTCCTTGGACTTTCCACACGGCCACAAGGGGCCCCCCCACACGGCCAGTGTGGCTTGCCTGTGCAAATTGGTGTCACACGGCCGTGTGGAATTTTAGGCGTGCCCGTGTGAGTTCCTCAGCTTTTCGCCAAACGTCCAATCTTCGTCCAATCGCCGCGAACTCGTTCCCAAACCTTCATTCACGTACTAGGACCTGAAATATCACAAACAAGAACAACCTAGCGTGAAATCAGCCTAAAACACGAGAAATAAGACTCAAACGGTATAAGAATGGTGGACAAAAACATGTGTAGATATCAAGCCATCAAATTCCCCCACACTTAATCGTTTGCTTGTCCCCAAGCAAACCAAGTCAGATACAAGGTAAGCTCAACATATTTCAATCATACCAACATTGGGAACAAATCATATAGGCACAGAACACAGGAATCATACTGGCTTTCAAACATCAACACATGAACAACTTCAACAACAACCTGGACAACCACAGAGGGCATTCGAGTGCAGCAAAATCGGGTAAAGGAGGGGTCTCCCTTTTGTTCACCAACCAACATAGACTTAACTCAACCACTTGATCAAGACAGTCATCACATGCATCAAACTCAAGACATCAGAATCAAGACCGAGCCATCTAGGTCCTCACCGGGGTAAAGAGCATAAAGAATAAGGAAATGAATCGCTCACTCTCGACCAGTGGGGTCAAGACCTTTGATGCGAAAAACGCGCATGCTTATTCTCTCAAATCCTAACATCTCTTCACCATGATGGCAACCTCTAAATCTTAGAGCTCACACAAGGGATGTCACCACTAACTAATCCGGAGGTCTTAGTTATAGGTTCAAGTGACTGGCTAGGGTCTTGGACATGGGGGAAAAGCCTTTTAGGTGGTGGAAGTGTTCATAGCACCAGGTTTCCACAATTCCAAACCCAACACAATCATAGCCAATCAAACCACTTACTTCCTTTCTGCCATTCTGCATTACTCACATTCTCTAGAGCACAAGAGCAAAGGAGGTCACATAAATGTTAGTATTTCCAAGCCAGACTGCTAAGAAACACTACTTATGAGCATGATTTAGAATTTTTAGGTAGTGGCTCTCTTTTGCTTTCATTCTTTTTTTTTTCTTTCATTTTTTCATTTCTTAAGAGAACCACCACCTCTGCACATTTTTCAAGCACATGCCCAATTTTTAAGCATTACCTCCAACCCTCACATTAAAATTAGCAGAAACAGCAGAGAACATGCAAAAACCACTATGTGGAACCTTCTAAAAGATGCAAAAGGGTGATTTTCCATTGTAGACCAAAAGAAAGAAAAGTACGCGGCTCAAAGGGGCTGACTAGGGGTATGACACACCAGGACAGTCAATTTGGTCGTGGGCTAATCCTATGCCTCCATCATCTTAGCTAGTGACAACGTGAATGCTACACATCATGGAAGAGGGATCAATCGCAAAAGAAAGAAACGAGCAGGCTCAAATCTCATATGGCTACCTATATGCTCTATCTCTCATTCTGATTCCCTGAACTAGATGCATAAACAACTGTCAAGAGCAAGTGATCAATCCAAGTCACAGTTGGTAAGCAAACAGTTGAAAAAAAACTGAACCCCTACACAATTCTACTGCACATCTCAGTCATCATTATAGGTTGTCCTAGTTACAATCAAGATGTCATGCAATAATTCGAACGCCATTCGATTCACCAATCAAATCACAGTGCCAATATGATCATGCAAACAGCGGTACTTGGAGCCCTCAAGTCTCAAGATTTGGACAGTGGAGTAGGCTCAAAGCACACAATATAGATTCCAACCGATACAAAGCACCCCCCACACTTAATATCGACATTGCCCTCAATGGAGCAGAGGGAAAGATAAGGGGAAACGATGTTACCGGGAATACGGACTGTCGGGGGGCTGGAAATGGGACCAGTCAGCAGGGCTAGAGTCATCAAAACACACTGGGTGATAAAAACCATAGTTCCAAGTGGACAAACCGAAAAACAAACGAAAGAAAAACAAACCTTGGTGGGGTTGCATCCCCACAAGCGCTTCTTTACCGTCTTTTAGCTGGACGCCAGTAGGGTGGATGCTCAGAGAGGTGTAGGAACAGGTGCCTCCAAGAGAGGATCCACATCTCTCTTTAGGTACAACTTCAGATGGTGGCCATGCACACGACGGGTGTGACCACCAGCACTCGTCAACTCAACCTGGCCATCCGGCAGGATGCAAGCGAGTGAATATTCGGATGGCCAAGGCGGTCGAGGCTCAGGAGGTGGGGCCAACTCATAGTGGTCTCCGGCTTCCTTTTGAGCAGGCTTAGCTACCTACAGTTTCGGCCGCTACTCCTCCTTGATCTTGTCTTTTGGTAACGGAGTGGACGAGAGTGGCGGCTAAGATATGTGAGAGGGATCTTGAAAAATGGGAAGCACAGATGGATACACGACAGACTCATGCTCCTGGTGAGAAACGGCATGCAAAGGCGATGAAGCAGGGAGAGTATTAGCAATGGAAAATGTTATTTGCTCCTCGCCATCCCTCAAGACTAAGGTCCCATCATGCACATCTATGAGAGCCTTGGCGGTGGCCAGGAAAGGCCTTCCTAGTACAAGGGGCACTTTTTTGTCTTCATTGATGTCCAAGACAACAAAATCCACAAGATAAAAGAATTTGCCAACCTTAACCAGAAGGTCTTCCACTATGCCCCTAGAATGAACTATAGATCGGTCAGCTAGTTGAATACTCATCCTAGTTGCACTTGGTTCACCTAAGCCTAGTTTCTTGAACAATTTATATGGTATCACATTAATACTAGCACCTAGATCCGCCAATGACCTCTCTACATGCAATTTACCTATAGAGCACGTGATAGTGAAAATACCTGAGTCCTTTTGCTTCTGCGGAAGCTTGTTCTGAAGAATGGTCGAGCACTCCTCGCTGAGCTCCACAGTGGCTAGCTCGCTCAGCCTCCGCTTCTTCGAGAGAAGCTCCTTCAGGAACTTCACGTACTTAGGCATCAGAGATAGTGCGTCCATGAAGGGCACTTGAACATGCAGCTTCCTAAGCATGGACGAGAAGTTGCCGAACTCTGCCTCTAGCTTGTCTTTGTAAATCCTGGTGGGAAAAGGGAGCTTAGGCTTATATTCGGCCACTAATGGTTGTGGCTTTGGAGCTTGATCCTCTGGCTCCTTTTCCATCACTAGGTCTTCTTTCGGCTCTGGGGTGATCTGGGTCACCTTCTTGGCACTCCTCTGCGGTGCATCCGCAGTCACAGTCCCACTTCTTAACATGATGGCGTGCAACCCCTCCTTATGATTTCTGGGATTCGGCAGGGGTTGGCCACGAATTGTGCAAACCGGTCTAGAAGCAAGGGCATCAGCTAGGTGCCCGATCTTGGTGTCCATATCCTGCAAGAGTGCCTGCTGGTTTCTCTGGTCAGCTTCAATCTCCATGAACTTGCCTGCAGCCACTTCCATGAATTGCTCCAATTTATTGAACTTTTGGGTACTAGTGCTGGCCAAGGTAGTCACTAGATCCCTCAGTTCTGACACGGGGTCGCCCGGTGCTAGGACTGATGGAGATGCACCAGGCTGTTGGTACTGCTGCTGGGGCTGTTGAAAAGCCTGCCCTTGTTTGGGATGATAAAGTGATTGCTATTGCTGCATCTGGCATGGGCGAGGCTGGTATGATTGCCTCTGGTTTGGAAAACTAACTTCAGGAGCTTGGAAGCCAGGTGGCTTCGGATTGTTGTTGCCACTCCAAGAGAAATTTGGATGCTGGCGCCATCCCTCATTGTAGGTGTTACTGTATGGGTCGTTGCGTCAGACATTGTTGATGAAGTTCACCTGCTCCTGAGGTGTACTGGACTCACGCATGGCCTGGCAGTCCTCTACAGTATGATGGGTGCTCTCGCACCACTGGCAACGCATTGCCGGCTGCTGCCCTGTCCTTGGAACCACCCCATTCCGATCGATGGCTGAGACCAGTTTAGACTCAACCTGCAACAAATCAGAAGAGTGGGTGCCCACAGCATGTACACCTCGGCTTTGTGCTCGCCTCGGCTTGACACGCTAAAACACAGCACCAAACTGCGACCAAGTGTAATCGCAGTCTGGAAATGCAGTAACATGCAAGCTCTATTTGTCAACCCGGGGTCTAGATCTACTGCCTACTCCGTGAATATCTATTATGTAGAAAACTAAGTCGAGTGATTGTGATTTTAACTAAAAGCAGTAAGAAAGAAGGAAATGGTTCAAAGTTCTTTAGCAAGGGAAGAGTCACTCGGGAATGAGTCACCCTAGCTCCTTAGTTAGGTCGAGGTTGTAATTACCCTGGGTTGATTAACTGTTGATTAAACTGCGGAAGATCCGACAGTAGCTTGGAATCTCTTAAGCTGACCAAGCCCTCTCAGTCCAACTACCCGGCAGACAGCTAGTCTTGACCGAGATAGAAAGCTGAGGCTATGTACGTAGAACTCCACTACTGGAATTGGATTCCAGTACAAAGCAGTAAATCGATTAACTCTCGTATAATTAATCTACCAATACCGATTGATGAAGCTCTAACAACCTAATCAGATTCTATCTATCTCAGGTTGTAGCAGAAATCAAGAAAAGATGATCAAACTTCAATTGACTCAATGAATCATGCATCAATCGATTAAAATCAAACAGTATAACAATCCCAAGTCATTACAATCAAGATCCCTAACACATGGAACTGTGGTTCTTCATACCCAAGCGAGAGAAAGTTCTACTCCATAGAGAGAGAGAGAGGAAAACAGAAAACAGAGTAGTCATACTCATAAAGATGAGGAAAATCTACTCTGGGATGATGATCTTCACTCCTATTATGATCTCCAAGCTCGATTGATGAAACCCAGCTCCAAAATCACTTCTAGGATGTGTTCTTTGCACTTTCTCTCTCTAGGGCTCTGTTTCTTGCTCAAAAACTCAATTCCCCCTTCAAAACACTCGAACTTGGGTTAAAACTCAGTTCTGCCCATCACACGGCCTGGCCACACGGCTGTGTGGAATCCCAGTTTGCCCGTGTGGATGGCAAAACGCGGCGTTTCACTTAATGGGTCTTCAGGCATGCTCCACGGCCAGAGACACACGGCCACAAGGGGTCCCCCCACACGGCCAGTGTGGCTTGCCCGTGCAAATTGGTGTCACACGGCCAAGTCAAATGGCCGTGTGGAATTTTAGGCGTGCCCGTGTGAGTTCCTCAGCTTCTCGCCAAACGTCCAATCTTTGTCCAATCGACCCCGAACTCGTTCCTAAACCTTCATTCACGTACTAGGAACTGAAATATCACAAACAAGAACAACCTTGCGTGAAATCGGCCTAAAACACGAGAAATAAGACTCAAACGGTATAAGAATGGTGGACAAAAACATGTGTATATATCAAGTCATAACTGCCCTTCTTCTTCCCAACTTCGTTAGCTTCTTCGTCAAGTAAATTAAACGTGTATAATGGACCATTTGGAATCATATCAGTGCCATTGCCGAGTTTGGGTATGCAACCGGACGACGAGACGTAACACGGTTGGCATAGTAGGGTTGGGACACCGGATGGCGATACGTAACGCGATGGTTCCTAGTAGTTAAATGTATGAGTTAAGGATAGAAGTAGAGAACTTCTATAAGATAAGGTTAGGAGTATAAGTGTTTCCATAATTTATTGAGAAATAAAGTAATAAGGATATAAGTAAATAACTTCTATGAGATAAGGATAAGAGTAAAGATCTTATATTGGTTGTGTTGGAATAAGTTGTTAAGGACGAAAGCGAGAACGACTGTCGTCTAAGAAAGGAACCCCCCCCCCCTAATAATGTGTTTAGTAAGGGTTTGCTTAGGGAAAAGACCTTAGGAAGTAATGACGAGACTGATCCCTTCTCACTCACCAGGTTGAGGAAGGGTTAGCGGATGGGGATTACGAGAAGAGGCAAGGCGAGACGGCAGCCGCACCAGCATTGACGAGATGTCAAGGAGCTCGTGGGGAGTTAGAGTTAGATTTGATTAGTTGATTCTTGTATCATGATTTGAGTATAAACTAGAAGTTCAAGGTTCATGGTTGAGTCGTTTTAAGTGTTTGTATCGTGATTGCCCAAGTATTTAGGGCATTCTATTAGAAAATGATTAAGTTGTATTCATTTTAATGAAGTCTTGAGTTTTGTTTTTAATCGGCTTCGGAGACATGGTCATTTCAGTTTATTTGAAAAAGATCGGGTTGTTTCACTATTCGTGACACTTCCAGCCTCCTTGCCTCGTTTGATCTCCTGTTACAGCAACTTGAGTCAGCCCTGCAACCAATCCACTAGTGGCGCCGTTTGCAGAGAACACGAAGCATTTAGCTTCTCCCCCTGAGCCAGAGATAATCTTTCGACGACCAACATTTGCATCTAGGCAATTGAGGATATGATTGGGACTCAAATCTTCGTGGATGTTGCAGACATCAACCTTTTCTCGGAGATCAATCCCTAGGCGATGAAGGTAGTGAGTGATGAGAGGGCCAAAGGGAAGAGGCCCACTGTAGCTACCATCACCAAACCGAATCATGTGAGCGAACACAAGTGAAGCATATGAAACACCCTAACCCAGCCGGGTACTAGTTTTACCAAAATGCCCTTGATGACTCATAAACCAAAATAAGGAACGAAAGACTTGTAAAAAGAAATGGAAGCTTTCCATAAATAACCATAACAAAAACTGAAGTGGACTGAAATCTCTTAAAACAAAACCCTAACACTTGGGAAAATTAAACTCAAACTTTAAATATCAATATGTTCTCCAGTCTATACTCATAATCATAAAATGTAAATAGCTAATAATCTATAAAGTTGTTGCTACTGAAAACCTTGACTAAGTATCCTCCATGACGCTTATACTGCTCTCCTCTAGCTGGCTGCCCTCGAACTCGCTGCTCACTAACTGCTCCTCTAGCTCCTCAAACTAGCGAGTGAGATGGGGCCAGTCTACGCCCTTACGTTTAACATCTCAATAATGCTTGATCACTTTTCTTAACTGAGTTGAAGTTGTTTTGTACTCCCACTATTAAAAAGCTTAACTCTTAAAACTGTATGGGAGTTACTGTTACTCCATTCTTAAATCTCAAAGCCTGACTGAAATACTTGACCGACACTAGGATCCCTCACTAGCTAGTCCGGTTGCCAACTCATACGTATGAGAAGCCATTCAGGCTTTCCTTAAACTTAAACTTAGTTAGGGAAGTCGTAACGATTCATCCCCCGAACATCTTAAAATTATCGTGGTGGCTCTTCACCACGATTCTCAAGATCATAACTGCTTCTCAAATTAAAAGTCACAAGAGCATAACTGCTGCTCTGTCTCAAAGATCTCAAGAGCATAGCTGCTGCTCTATCTGAAAATCTCAAATGGCAACGGACTGACGCTAGTGACTAAAAACACTTAAAACGACTTCACCTTCTTGAAGGTGAGTTACTTCTTAAAAAGAACTTGTTCTTAAACTTTAACACTAACTCATAGACATCAAGCTTCAAGTAAGAAATAAACTCATCCACAATTCATTTCAAATCATAGCTCAACCATCGCACATATCATCAAACATAATCATGCAATATCAAACATGAATCAAATACATCACGCACATCACGTAAATCAATACTTAAAAATACTCAAAGCAAATACTTGAAAAATCGTAAGGCGTAGAATTTACCCCTTTACACTCACCTAGAAAAGACAACTTCTTAGTAGATTGAGCCGGCGAGAACCATCCTTACTCCAATGAGAGGTCTGATATTTAAATCCACCCTTCAAAATTCTCTTGCTATCATCCATCTCGTGAATATAGCCTCTACACGATGACCATAACCAAATTAACTTATGCGTCTTCTTAACTCGTTGAAATTCATCTATACTAAAGCACTAATGATTTCCCCCACCAACCAAAGCCCAATCACACGTTCCCTGGGTAGTCAACCACCCATTTCCTACCATTTATTCATTCCCATACACCACGTAGAACCTCCCTCCAACACTATTGGAACCGAAACCCTTTCCCATCACTAGTTCCACAATGATGTTGCAATAATTATCCTCAACTCAATAAAAGAAGGTTATACGTACCTCCCCTTTACCCCGATTTCCCGAGAGCAAGCCTGCCGCCACCTCCTGCTTGATTTTGCCGCCTTCAATAGTGTTGATTTAGTTCGCTTCCCTTCCTTCTCTGTGGCCCAAGATATAATCTCAGCCTATTTTGGTGCCTCGTAAACCATTTCCTGTTGTCCGTTTTCAACCCTAGAACATTGCAGTTACACGTGGGACTTGAGGGAAGGCTGCGACGGGCAATGCTCAGGGCCGAGCGGTTTGTGACGGGGAGAGGAAAGAGATGGACGAGGGTTTTTTTCTTTGGAAATCATTGAGGGCCGCTCGGCTCTCTAGGTCTAAATAATTTTTTTAATTATAGTAATAATAATTATGATAAAAGTCATTATTATTAGTCTTAATCCACGGTTGTAGCTCTTAGTACGTAACCGTCAATCCAACCGTCAATCCAACTGATCACATATTAAGGTCGAACCCAAATATAAAATGCCGGGGTGTTACATTTCCTCCACCCTTATAAAAATTTCGTCCCCAAAATTTGCTTGAATCTCATTCCTCTGTCAACACCATTCTTGTACATCCTTGCCCCAAAAATTACTCTCTCTATATGAACCTTGATGATGTCCGTTGCTTGTCCCGTATAGTTTACCTCACCTCAAATTATTTCCTCTTGACCATAAAAGGTATTCCCAACAAGCTCATTAGCATCGAGTAGCTTTGAGTGGCTACTTACCCTTTTCAAAATTTTCCAACTTGGGTCCAGTACTTGATGTTGAACCTATCGAGGTCGAGGTATCACATTTCCTCCCCACTTATAGAAATTTCGCCCTCGAAATTTGTCCACTGTGATTACCCTAAGCATCGCTTGTGGTAATCCTTTTCACTTCGCGGATTTTTATTTCCCTCAACTTATACGACATGACCTAAAATCCTTCTCTCCATTCCTTGCAACTTCAATGTTGTTGTGACTTCTTAACCCCTTACCTTACCTCGGCTGCACCTTGTATGTATATAGCGACGATAACTATCCATTGTTTGGTATACGAGACGTTAATGCTCCTCTTGAACCCCCAGGGTTACATATAGCGGCTTATCCTCTATCCCATCAGATGGTAAAATTCCTTTAACGTAACTCTCGTCCGGAGTTGACCTCAAGGTCACCTAGGTCCTTGTATCTCCTAACTCTACATCTCTTACTTTCTTCTTCAATGCCTCGTCTTATCCCTTAACCATAAACTTAATGGTCACCGCCTCGTTACTTGCTGCTTAGTGTTGGAACCTCATACTACTGTTTCTACTTCCTGTATGCATAGAAGGAATCCTTTGCGTCTTTCTCTAGCTTGCGATCAACTTTATGAATCCTTTCCAGAATTATGACCTTCCATTTTGCGTACTTGCTCACTCCTGGCACCTAACTGAACACTTCCTTATCATCGTTTGACTTGGGAATTCTCGTACGATCTCTTCTATTGTTCTTTGACCTTGCCTGAAATTCCTCGTACCGTTTCCCCGTCCAAGAAATTTTCACCCGAGAGATCGCCACATTTCACCCTCATAGGTGGTATTGCTTTCACTTTAGGGTATCATAGCAGGTTCACTAAACTCATATCCATCTTACTTCTTTACTTGTGACTCCTCTTACCTATGTTTCTCGCTAGTTCGATATGCCCCTCTTCCTCGATGTAGTCATCTTGGTGCCCATATTCTCTTCTCACTTATGTACCTTGACCGATAAGGTTTTCCCTTCGACCGTTCTGGACCACCACACTTCTACTTTAAAGTTGACCATTGAGCTTCTCAGTTCTTGATGGGCTTCCTATGGTCTAACTAATTCTCCACTGGCAATCACCTTAACGCCTCTTTGTTGACCATCGTATTCTTTCGCCGGCTCTTCCTAACTATCTTTCTCCCTGAATTTGTCGTTTTATCAACTACCACCCTTTTCACCATAACCTTCATTATAGCCTCATGGTTTCCCCCTTACTTCCACAACTCCTTCATCGATGCTTGGTACTAGCTTTAATCTACTCAGTTTAGTAGCTCCTCGCCATACCTCCGAGCTAACATTTCCACTAGAAACTTTCTCTAGGTAGACTTGCCAGATGACACCCACGACTTCTACTCACGAGTAAAGAATCTCCAGGACTTCTACTCACGATGGTGCTTGACCACGTCCCAACTATCTTCCTTCACGCATTCATTATCCGGTCGACAACCACCCTTTTTATTTTATTTCCTATAGCGTTCTATGGTGTTCTCCTTTCTTCTTTACTTTTACTACCCTTCTGTTGATACTTTGTACTATTTTCGGTAACCAAACTCTGTCAAGTATCTTCTCGTTGTTGTTTTGGGTCAACGCTTCTAGTAGTGGCTTGCCTTTGGTAGGCTTGAACATACCTCATCCACGTCTTTTGTCCCTACCGATGTTTGTACATAGCCTAAATCTCTTAGTCATGGCTCTTAGTGGCTTAACTAAACGTGCCAGTTTCATCCTTAACTAGTTGTCCCCTCTGGAGCCCTCCTACCATGCCGCGCCCACTCAGAGTGGGGCACCTTGGATAAGATAACTTCTCTTTTTCCCCCTTCTCGGTAATGCTTACCCTCATCGTACCTCTTTGTGCCGCTTCTTGACCTCGAGTCACCTGAGGCTTGACCAATTGACTTATTGAAATCTCGTCAGACTCCCTCTGGCCTTTTTGCTCTTCCTTGGTATTTTTCGCAAACTCTCTTCATTACGACCGTTGAGACTTCTCCTCAAATTCTCAACATCTATTGGAACTTCCAATAAACGTTCTACTTACTTGTCTATACTCTATACTCAGTTGGTTGAATGACTTACTCCTACAGCTGGTTTTGAGACTCCAGCTCTTAGCCCTCTAGTTCCAACTTATTAAAAAGGTTCCTCCTTCTGTCACCCCTCATGTACCCTAGGCTGCTAGGTGCTCCCTCGATTTAGGAAAGGACAATCCCATAACAGATCATCGTGAACTCTTGCATTCCCCTTTCAACGGTCCCAACATCCTCCTGACCTTTTGTGACCTGGGTAGTTTGTAGGGTCTCTGATATCCCAATCCATCCTATTTCTAGCTCGACATTGTTCAGAAGCACATTGTTATTCTTGATCCAAGCTCGTCCTCTACCTCGATCATCTTGACTCTTGTCTTGTTCCTTTCAAAAGCTTGATACCGTCCTAATTCCCCAGGGTCCTGCACCCTCTTCTAGATAACGTAGTTTATCTACAAGGGTTCCTTCATCGTCATATGTAAATGACCATGTCTCCTCTCCTCCTTAATCTATTGACTTCTTGACGTCCTTTCATACTCCTTATAACCTACTCATTTCCTCCTTCGCTTCCTTTATACTACCCCCAACATTTCTTAAAGTCTAACATTCCTCTACTCCTTGTCACTATGTTGTAATGGCGTTGAGCCATCGACCACAAAAACTAGCTGAGGGACTTCTCGGGGTACCTC